AGTCATAGCTTCAAGATCAGTCAGTATCTCAGGGCATGTATTCCCAGGTATCTAGACATTGCTCTGATAACTGCCATAACAACCACTGACAATATCATCTGATACATTGTGGGGCTCACAATGGCTGTTTCGTCTATGTATCATACAGTATCCCCTTACAGCCTTGACTTACAAAATTGTTATGAGTTGCAGAGACAAATAAAAATGCTCTGTCCTTGGAAACCTGGCAGAAAACTTAGTTTTCTTTCAAGAAGCCATTGTAAGCCAATCACACACAGATGATACTTCCATCAAAGATGGTGAAATGGCGAGATTCATGTATCCTAATATCTGTGTCATACCTAAATTTTATCAGAATTTTTACCTGAATTCACTCAGTCCAAGAGCGGGTTAAGTGCAACTGTAACAGACACCAACATGTGAGACGATGCTCCTTCAAAGCTGGGTCAGCACAATCATGGACACCTTGCATCAACAACAAGTTCTGTGTTTTGTCGAGTGAGTAAGTATGGTTTTAGAGCCCGTTTAGCAATATCAAGGCAGGGGACACCAGAATGGGCTTGTACTCATGTGGGGAATCGATGTCAGGTCTTCAGCTTTAACAATTATGCTACCCCACCGCATCTGGGAATTGAACCTGGGTCTTTGCCATGAGCCAACGCTTTAACCACTAGGCTACCCCAACGCCCCTTCTTGTTCTAGAGCTGACAAGCTAAGAAACATAATGAGGCCAAACAGGGATTTGGACTCACGAAACCCAAGTTTCTGGCTCACCCAAGGGGCTCAACTCTGTATTGCAAATTGTAGTGCCTTTGATGACTGGGTCAGTGTGTCTGCATGATAATAAGTTTGTTAATTCCCCTTTACCATCTGGGAACTGTTTAGTACCATCTGGGAACTGTCTAAACAGTCACCAACTTGCTCAATGGTTCAAGCGATTATCATCAAAACAATGTACAAGATGTCTCCTAGAAATACTGGGCATAACATTTATAAATGAAACTTGACACATCCATATTAAACCAATCTATATATGAAAATAGTCATTAACTTAATATCATTCTGACTATGGCATATAATGGACATGCAGCAATGATTCGCAACTTTGGACATAAAAACACTGTCTTGCATACAATAGCATGAATTTATTCCAATGATCATTCATCTATACAAAAAACAAGAGTTATCCCCCTTGTTTCATAACTCTATGCAGGCACATGCTCATGTAATCATAAACTATCATTAAACATTCATTAGTTTCTGTTTCAGCTTATTTTTACACATTTTATTCAGCAACCTTCAAGTGTACAGCTTAAGTGAAGTCATCAGAGCTGAAATTGTTGATTATCAACAAATCTTCTTTTACAACAGGTCTGGTCATTTATTGTGTGGACTTCTTATCATTTAATAAAAATATAACATCTGTTAAAGACCAAAACAGTCAAATTCAGCTGAAAATGAGTAGTATAATTTCAGGTTAGGATGCATCCCTCAATCACCAAGAGTTTGTCCGCTTCTAGGACCCACCACAACTGACAAAATAGTTTATCATGAATATTATCATTAAAATTATCAACAACAAATCAAGAATAAGATAAACATTTTCTCAGAACCGTCCCCATAATGGTTCACTCTTTTCACTTCCTTAAAAAGTTCTATCAAAATTAAATAACTGTTATCTTAATAGTTGGAAATAAGTGCAGCATTTACATCAGCATTAATGCCTCTATGAGGGTAAGGCAGGTGCTCCCAAATGAAACCTTACACATCTCACTTTCATCCTTGCTTTAAGCCTTCCTTGCAAATGTCAATCCCCTACAAACTGATTTTCATTTTTGTAATCTTTTCATTTCAGAAAAGAAACTAAATATCCCTGCCATTTTGTAAACCAGTTTTATCAAAACTTCAATGCGTACTTGGAAAGTTCAGAACATTACGCAAAACTGTATCAATAAATATGAACACTTTAAAAACATACAAAGCATGACTGGCCTTTTTTTTGACAGTATAAAGATTCAGAAAATACACCAGTGCCAGCTAGTTTGTTTCGAATAGTTAAAACATCCCACAATTCATCTGCTCAATCAAATTTTAATGATACTATTCAGAAAAAGTGAAGAACACCATTGAGGTAAACTATAGCCTATAACATCAGGTATCCTTTACTTGTTTTGAGTAGTGAAGGTTCCACGACAAGATTACACAGCCCTCTACTGGCAAGGAAACCAATCTACTGCCTCGAATAGCAGTGCTGCCGCCAGGATTTCCTTGGAAATGTGAGTCAATAACCAAAAGTGAAAAAATCTGTAATCCTTCTCTTTGACACTCTGACAGCCAAAAATATTTGATGATAAACTCTGTACATCAAGACGACAGTGAAAGGAGCTCCTTACAGCCATTCATATTACAGATTTGTATGCAAATAGACATACTAGCAATGTGTACAGCTTAGGAAGCCTCGTTTTGAATTCCGAAAGTTTCAATATTTTTATTTGATCAATATGGCTCCTGATATATAAAAACGTGTTATTATAAATTCATAAATAAAGCGCCAAGGTAAGTACAATTTGCGGGAATCCCACAATTATGCAGTCTGGCTGCAGCACTGGAATAGTGTACACATATCAGAATCCCAAACTGTTCGACCTGCATCATCCACGAATGGGCCAGATTGAATTATATGATATCCTTCCCAATGTAAAAATCTATGAATCTGGCAAGAATTTTCTTTTTTATATTGCTTTGTGTCTTGTACATGATAAAATTCACATTAGAGGCAAAACTAATGCAACGGTATCTGTTGAAGTGTAAGTTAAATCTGAGCATTCAGATGCTATCCAGTTTAACATATCTCCATTTTATTAGGATAAATAACATGGACCCATTTTGAACAGATCTGAAAGAAACATCACTTCAAATAGCCGCCAAATGAGATTACACCCATGAGGAAGTGAGTACGTGAGTTACATTTTATGCCGCTTTTAGCAATATTCCAGCAATATCACAGTGGGGACACCAGAAATGGGCTTCACACATTGTACCCATGTGGGGAATCGAACCCGGGTCTTCGGCTACCCCACCGTCCCCATGAGGAGTGAGTGAGTGAGTGAGTTTGGTTTTATGCCGCTTTTAGCAATATTCCAGCAATATCACGGCGGGGGACACCAGAAATGCCCCCATGAGGAAGTGAATATAGTGAACGATAGGAAAGGTTGAGACTCGGTCTCATTAATATCAGATCTTACTTCTTGCTACCTCTAAACAAAGATCAGAGGACATCCATTATGTGTCAGAATAGAACAACCTTTCTTTACACCGATCAAAACGAGGCTATCAGAATGGGAAAGCAACAGTCAGATTGTGTTTACTCATAATTCAAATTCAGGATTTAAAAAGGGTATTCTGGTGAATGACAAGTTACAGGCTGTATGATTGATTCTGTCAAAATCATCACTATCGCTCGCTTCAAACAGAAAAACAATTGTAATGGAAGACTTACTCGAAATACTGCAGCAAAATATTAGTCATCTTTTAGATATTCCAGAAATTTCAATTGTTCAGTTTTTAAATTCTAAATCAGGATTGCCTGATGTTGCCTGTTTGAAACTTATGCCATAAAGCAACAGAGAGCTCCTTTCTGATTGGCTAATGTCAACTATAGGATAAATATTGGGTATTACGGGTCAGTCAGTCCTTGCAAAGTTGTTTTGTTTTGGCCTGTGAATACTAGTTGTAACGGTAGTGAGAAATAAGCCTTGATACAGACTATGAATGTGTCCAGGGTACTTATCCTAACACAATGTAGAGATAGTTCCCTTGATAATAGAGGATGGACCAAAACGTGATCATAACTACTGCACAGTATTATGGATGGTATCAAATATATCAGTTGCAGGAATTCCTGTTAACTGACCATTAGTCAGCTCATACTTCCATTGCAAAGTAATTAATGATGACTTTCAGGATAAAACTACATTTTAACTTAAGTGCCAATATGCCTGGATAATTCTGAAAAACTTATTCCTGGTGGGCTTAGATTGATTGGTTTGGTTTAGTTTTGTTGTTTAACGCCACACTCAGCGATATTCCAGCTATATGGCAGCGGTCTGTAAATAATCGAGTCTGGACCAGACAATCCAGTGATCAACAGCATGCACATGGATCAATTGGGATACTATGACATGTGAGTGAGTGAGTGAGTTTAGTTTTACGCCACACTCAGCATTATTCAAGCTATATGGCTGCGGTCTGTAAATAATCAAGTCTGGACCAGACAATCCAGTGATCAACAGCATGAGCATCGATCAGCTCAATTGGGAACCAATGACATGTGTCAACCAAGTCAGCGAGCCTGACCACCTGATCCCGTTAGTCTCCTTTTACGACAAGCACAGGTTGCTGAAGATCAATTCTACAGCAATCCATGCTTGGGCTTAGAGGACTAAACATCTTGATGCTGTTGATTTATCCACTGAGGCCAGTGTTTTATCTTCTTCGTTTATCTACAGTTTCTGCGATACAATTAAACATTACAGTAAATAAATTGATTTGAAAGGTTCACAGAAGGTCAACTTAAAATATATTCTTAGTCATGTTAATGTTTTTGAAATGCAAAAAAAAAAGAGTAACAAAAATAATTCCAAGAAAAAACTACAATTTATCTATCTTATCATCCAAATTGAATTCAAATGAATTGTCTGATGTGATGCTGATTTACCCAGTTTTCAACCAACAATCATAATGAACTCAACATACATTTCTGCAATACACATCATTTGGTATTTTATTCCGACCATGATCATTATTATTGTCAATGACATAATAATGGGTTTGGTGTTTTTTTCAAATTCTTGATGAAAATTGTGACACTTGCAAAATTGAACCTTCAATTTACCTCAGCCAAGCAATAAAATAACTGATGATAAATACAAATAAGAATTATATAAATGATGATAAAAAAATGTCTGTGAATTTTATCAAGCCGTTACAGATGCTGGTTTAACTCAAACATCCTTGGACGTTGAATGATGACATAAGCAGTCAATACCATCAAAGTGCTCATAATAAAACAAATAGAAGTTGAAAAAAATACAACCCACACCAGTTAAGTGAAAGCCATTTTTCTATCACAAAATCAAGTCAAACAGTGTCACAGATCACAATGATAAAATATGCCATATTTCCTATAATTAACGCTGGGACTAAAATATGGAATTTTGTCAGTTCTTACTTAAAGGTATACTTTGGTTCAAACCTGTGATGGACACAGATGGCCCCTGTATACAGAGTCCTCCCACAACCTATTCACGTCCATCTCATGACAAAGTCTTGCATGATGACAAAGACAAGAATTCCCTGTATCAAAATACATCATTTCAGCCTTGGAAAATATTTCACCAGTTGATATCTGTGATGATTTTTCATGGCAGCCAGGATAATATCGTGGAAAATATTTATTTCACCAGTTGATGTCTGTGATGATTTTCCATGGCAGCCAAGATAATATCATAGGACATCTCAACTGGAAACCATGGTAACATGCAACCATTACCTCTTGATGCATTTGCCTACAGATGCTGGTTACAGTCACAAAGCTACATCATCTGGCTATTTCCTGTAATCCAAAAATTGTTTGTAACCAGCCTCAAGTCCTAGCCAAGGCAGTGTGCTGCTTCAAGTCCCATCACAGTATATCCTGTTAAGTACACAGTTCTGTTATAAGCTGCATATAGTCAAGGGGCAGACCGCCAGTCTTGATGTAGCCACCAGGGTCCTCTTCCGAGGCAGTCTGAGCAAGGCCACGAATGGAGCAGGGGAGATAACCCAATAACAACAACAAATTTTGGTGGATGTTCTGCTATACAGAATTCTGAAACACAAGAAGAGAATCATAAACACAGGGAAAAGGAGGATTTTGAGATGAAATACAAAGAGGAAATCATGAAAATGTGAAACAGGGCTTCATGAAACAAAGACGGTATCATCAGGTGAAACAGGATTTTATGAACAGGTGAAAAACATAGTTGGGTGTCATGAACAAGTGAAACAGGATTTTATGAACAGGTGAAAAACATAGTTAGGTGTCACGAACAGGTGAAACAGGACTTTGTGAAAAGGCTGAACACACAGTGGGTATCATGAACAAATGAAACAGGTAAGCTTGTGAACAAGTTACATAAATTTTATGAACACGTGAAACACAAAAAGGTATTACAAACAGGTAAAACAGCAATTTGTGAACACGTTTACAGTATGGGATATCATGAACAGAAGAAATACAAAATTATCATCACAAACAAGAGTGATTATTTTCTCCATAGTTTTATACATCTGCAATATTCCTGCCATACAATGGCAGTAAGTGCAGTAAGTCAGGACCAGACAATCCAGTGATTGACAGTGTGACCAACAATTCAAGCCATGGGGATACCATGACATGCATTCAACCAAGTCAGTCGGCCTTGCCACTCGATCTAACAACACCTCTTAACAAGCTGTCCAAAGCTGGAGACCCTTTTCTATCCAAACGATCTAGGATCCCCCATAGCTCTACACAATGACAATCAGATGCTTTTTCAACCAATAACATTGCGGAACACATACTTTTCTGTGATCATTTCTTCATTCACATTTATAATGGTTACAGATATTGGCTCTTGTCCTATAGCAAAAAAGCCAAACAGCCAAACCAAGATGGTATCAGAAGGACTAGTATAACTTTGAAGCATTCTGCTACAAGCTATCATTATAATATTGATAAGAGTTTAGCCAGGGTTTGGGAAAGGCAGGGACAATGGGCCATTTTACACATTAGAATATAAAATGGCCCATTAAACTTTTGAAGTTTACTATTGATACAAGGGCAGTGGCCCATTCTAAATTCAGAAAATGGCTAATAACCCTGAAAATGGCCCATTGTCAAAGTTCTCTATCCCAATCCCTGGTTTAGCTTTTCGCCTCTTTTAGCAATATTCCAGTAATATCACGGTGGGGGACACCAGAAATGGGCTTCACACATTGTATCCACGTGGGGATTCGAACCCAGGTCTTTGGCGTGACGAGCAAACGCTTTAACCACAAGGCTACCCCACCGCCCTATCATTATAATAAACTGTTGACTAAAAACAATAGCCCAGCTAACATCACGTAACTGGGCCAGTACTGGCATCGTTCTGGCCTGTACCGTTGGCACTGGCATAATGTACGACAGTATAGAGCCAGTACTGGACCAATGTTTGTTTTCTGTTAGTGGCCCGTTACAGGCAAAACTGTACTGGGACATATATTGGGTGGTTACCATAAATACTGCAATACTGTACCGGCCCAGTACTGGCCCAGTACAGACAGTGCACTTCCTGTCTGGTGAATTTGCTGGGGATTATCTCAGGACCATGTTGTCTGCTCAAGAGAGGTGGCCAAAAGGTAGAGTGTAACATTTTCCACATTTCTGAATGTAGATTGAATTAATGTGACACTAGAAAGTAATGGTATTTGTTGTGAAAAACTTATAGAGACTACTTTTTCAACTAAGGTTAAGTGCTGAGCTAAATTTTGAACCATAACATGCAGTATGAATTTCGCTGGAACAAGGGTAGTTTGAAACATTCAGTATGTATGTCATGTTGTTAGATCAAGGAAAGCTTGCTGACATGCCTCATTCAAAAAAAAAAATTCAATATATGGCCTAGATTATAGTATTGTTTGATAATCATGTCATACTGGACAAAACGTTGGATAGATTGAATAGTAAATGAAATTGAATTGAATTTTGAAACTTCTGTTGAACAAGCTCATCCAGAAGGAGAATGAACTCTGAATCAATGAAAGAATGATGCATCATTGTTTTCATCTTGTTTCATGAATTAAACTCGTTCTGATAAACTTGTGTCTTCTTCTTGTTGTGTTTTCTTTTTGGTATCAGCTTGTTTACATAGTAGAAACTGTGTTAAACTTAACCAGGCCAGTGCCGGCCAAACAGTAAAGGGCCAATGTGCAATCACTACAGCTGTGTACTGGGCCATACCTCTTTGCCTGTACTGGTCCAGTTCAACGCCAGTGTGCAAAATAGTACAGGCCCAGTTCCGGAATGGCTAAAATGAGCCAGATTTTCTGACTTCATTGGGCCAGTAATGGCCCAGTTACGTGGGAGTTTCTAGAGCTGTTCTACCAAATTAATTTTAAATTAACACCACAGATTTTGTTATAAATAAACCCTAGGTTGATGAGAATGATTTTCTGTCTAGAAAACTGACTGAGTTTAGTTTTACGCCGCTTTTAGCAATATTCCAGCAATATCACGGCGGGGGACACCAGAAATGGGCTTAACACATTGTGCCCATGTGGGGAATCGAACCCGGGTCTTTGGCGTGACGAGCCAACGCTTTAACCACTAGGCTACCCCACCGCCCCCTGTCTAGAAAAGTCACAAATTCTCATGCCTTACCTTTTGCCACGGTTTTTTATCCACGCCTTTATGATCCGGCAAATGTTTCCAATGACACTTATCACCATATATACAACCAGTCGTTCTCCAAAAATAACATTCATCACCATTTACAGGCCCACTTTGCTTTGGCTGATTCCGCACACTGGAAAAATAAAAACACAACATGTATTAAATACTGCATTCCTTAAGCATAAAAACATTAATGTAGAAATGATGAAGAATATTTCCTACAATCAATTATCTGTGCTAGCTTTAATAAGATAGAGTTAGAGCACAAGGCAGCAGTAAATACATAAAAGGATTTCATTTAAGTAAAGCAGGAGACGGTAGATTTTACATTGTGTTTTGCTATTGATCCCCATGCTTCATGAAGATAGTTTTCAAGACTTCAGGTTTGGTTTGTTTGTTTGTTGTGTAATGTCCACTCAGCAATATTCCACCTATATGGCGTCTGTAAATAATCAAGTCTGGACCAGACAATCCAGTGATCAACAGCATGTGCATTGATCTACGCAACTGGGATACGATGACATTTGTCAACCAAGTCAGCGAGCCTGACCACCTGATACCATTAGTCGCCTCTTACGACAAGCATGGGTTACTGAAGACCAATTATAACCCTGATCTTCATGGTTATCAAAACTTCAGTTCCTTGGCTATTTCTGTCTGATGAAGGTTGAGGCAGATCAATGGCCAAGACAACTTCATGTACTAAATCCCTAATCTCAACACCATGCATTTTGACATGCTGAAATGCCTTATCCCAACCCGATGTACTTAGATGGAATTCCTACCTGTACTTTTCACCTATGTCAGTACAATGACACTTTCGTACCCCAATACTTTGGTGCTGATCATATATTTCCAATATCAACGTCAAAGACTTTTAATTTTACACTCAAGGCCATAGAATACTTAGAATAAACAGCAACAGGCATGAATATTCTACAAGTGAAAGGTTTTCACACAATGTTTCAGCCAATGTGAACAGTTTGGGTATGCTTGAGCTTGACTTGCTATTTCCCCTATATCAAAAGCTGGATGATAAAACTCCCTGGACCATCCTAAACAGTCTCTGTTGTTAAAAGCATTCAAAGAGTTTCCATGGCAACCATGTGTGAAATCCCACTCTTTGTCATTTTACCCCATGTCTAGATAATTTGTTGAAACACGTCCAGGGATTTAAAGCTTTTCAATTTTGCATCTATTTTGATTTCACTTTGTTTACACCTAAAGCTGCTGTAAGGGTTGGAATAAAAGTCAATATGTATTGTGTTGTCTTATGGAACTTCCGTTGAGCCCATTACCAACTACACCTCTGCCGAATTTCAATACAGTTTGAAACAAAATAGCCAAATGGAAACCTTTAACTGGTCTCTAAATGTTGACAACTTGGCAGCCTTGCTTAAGATTTGTGCAAATCGATAGTTGGATCATATATACAAGTTTCCAGTACTGGTAATTTAACAGAGATTTAGAATGCAGTAACAATAGACAAACAGGCAAATGTGAAAGTCAAAGGTGGTGATTTGTTGAAAACAAAAATATGAAAAATAAACATTATTACATGCAAAACATTATTCGCTGTATATCAAATGTCAAAATAATATGTGCAAAAATGGTGAAGTAACTGGTCATAACTGAATTAAAAATCAAAATGCATTAAAAAGTATGTCAGTAATGCACAAAAAGGCAAAAAATATTTTGAAAAATGGAAGCCGTGTTAGTTATATCAAAATTAGAAGACGAAAACAAAACTGTATTCTGATAAAGTCTTTTGATACCATGGATACATATAGTGGCCTCATTTCAAACTATCAAACTATTTCCACAGTCTGTTGAAATAAAACCTACGTTGTATACAAATAATGTTGCCTATGACGTCCTATGCATACGCTGACACATTCTGAAATTTTGATGAGTAATGCATGATGATAAATATATGAAGATGGGGATGAAGTATGTTCTAACCTGAATGTCTCACACTAAAACAAGATTCTTGTGTATTCTGTGTAAACCTGAGGTGAGGTGAGGTGAAATTGGGTTTAACGTCGTGCTTGAGAATATTTCGCTCATATGACGACGTGCATGCGTGTGTATGTGTATGTGCGGCTCCTTGTACTAGCCCAGACTGAAGCTGGTTTTATAGTGCTAGCTCACTGAGATACCATGGCGCAGTGAAGCATGAATACCCCACTCAGACACATTATACTGACTCTGAGCCGACCAGTCCTTGTTGTACCCATTTATGCCGAGCGCCAGGCAGGGACCAACAAGTACCATATTTTAACGTCTTTTGGTATGATGCGGTCGGGGATCGAACCCGCGACCTTCCGCTCTCCGGGCAGACACTCTAACCACTACACCACGGAGGCGGTCGAGTAAACCTGACACTAAAACCTCAAGGTGAGGCTGTGCTCAGTTGGTTAGATATTTATTATATATTCGTTTCCTTTGTTTGTTGTTTTAACACCACACCACATGACATGCATCAACCATGTCAGAGCGTCTGACCAAACAACACATTTTGTCTAAACAAACCGTACACTCAAAGAGTTCACTCTATAAAATGTACATTCTATCTTCGAGTACAAAATGACCAAAATAACGTGTCCAAACAAATATGGTTCCTTAAAAGGATGATGTTGACTTCAATTCAAAACAGTCAAGGTTCAGCACAAGGTGTGACATTTGGAAGTGTATAATGCACACTTGATGTACTCTATTCTACTCTACCCATGTAATCCCAGGAGTGGGGAGTGAGTGAGCGTAATTTTACGCAGCACTGAGCAATATTCCAGCTATATGGTGGCGGTCTGTAAAAAATCGAGTCTGGACCAGACAATCCAGTGATCACCAGCATGAGAATTGATCTGCGCAACTGGGAACCGATGACATGTGTCAACCAAGCCAGCGAGCCTGACCACCCGATCCCATTAGTCGCCTCTTACGACAAGCATGGGTTACTGAAGGTTCATTCTAACCCGGATCTTCGCAGGTCATTAATCCCAGGAAGCCAGGTTGCATGACACTCCATTGAAAGAGAGAGTGAGTGAGTTTGAGTTAATGCCACTCGGGATCAGTATTTAAAATATATTACGCCATGTGGGGCGGTGGGGTAGCCTAATGGTTAAAGCGTTGGTTCGTCACGCCGAAGTCCCGAAGACAATATTCATGTCTGGTGGTTCTGAACACCAAGTGGTGAAGTGACTTCAAACTTCGAAAATGTCAATACGATAAACAGATATAAGTAACATACTGGAAATCAACTTATAATGCAAGCATATATATTCTGCCAAAATAGTGAGTGAGTTTAGTTTTATGCCTCTTTTAGCAATAGTCAAGCAATATCACGGCAGGGGACACCAAAAATGGGCTTCACACACTGTACCCATGTGGGAAATCAAACCCAGGTCTTCAGCGTGACAATCGAACGCTTTAACCACTAGGCTACCCCACCCGCCCCACCAAAAATAGTAATTGACTCTAGTCATAGGAAAACTGTTGTATCCGTTGTAACATAATGATTAACTTCTCACCTATACTGACGGAAGAACATTTAGCACTGAAGTTATGCATTGATACAAAATAATGGTACTGGTAGACAAAAGACAATGGCTGTAAATACTACATCAACACATAAGGTAGAATCTAAAGAAATTATCAGGCAAGAGGTTTAAACAATCTGTGAAAAATCCATTGGTGTTGAGTGACAAAATCAGAAGTTTCATTCAAGCAGAAGATCAAAAACAAACTGTCCATCCCTAAGCTATTCAAGTTTTATAAGTGATTATAATTTATTGTTATCGATTGAAATAAACTTGGGTAAAAATCATCACAAATTCAACTGAAATCTAATAAGAATACAGGCTGCCTTCAGAAAATAAACGTCACATCTATGAGGTATATGAGGTAAACATGACAGTTTTGACACATGAAATTACTAACTGGAACTTTCAGATGTATACACAAACAATTACCTTGATGATGTACTTTATATCTGAGACTATTACTGACAGCTTTTAGCAATATTCCAGCAATATCCACGCTATTACTATATGAACCACGTAATTATTATAAAATTACAGTAACAGCATAGAATGAGTCCAAGAAGGGGTAACGTTCAATCTAACGAGGACCTAGATATTTGAAAAGAGCACACAAAAGCTTCAGTATTTTTAACCCCAAAGGTGCACCAGATGACAACCCTGCCATGTTCCTTGTTGTTCCACACATACCCTGGACAACTACATCTCACCTGAGTGAGGATACAGAGATACCACATGAAAGAATCAAGTGGTCCTAATCCAAGACAGATGAACTAGAGCAATATGAAAGAGTCTTGGGTGGTCTTAAACCTGGGCAGATGAACTGAGCAACATGAGTGAGTGAGTTTATTTTTACGCAGCACTCAGCAATATTCCAGCTATATGGTGCTGGTCTGTAAATAATCGAGTCTGGACCAGACAATCCTGTGATCAACAGCATGAGCATCGATATGCACAATTGGGAACCGATGACATGTGTCAACCAAGCCAGCGAGCCTGAGCACCCGATCCCGTTAGTCGCCAGCAATTTGAAAGAATATTGGGTGGTCTTTAACCTGGGCAGATGAACTGTAGCAATGTGAAGAATATTGGGTGGTCTTAAACATGGGCAGATTAACTATAGCAATATGAAAGAATATTGGGTGGTCTTTAACCTGGGCAGATGAACTGTAGCAATGTGAAAAATATTGGGTTGTCTTAAACATGGGCAGATTAACTATTGCAATATGAAAGAATATTGGGTGGTCTTAAACATGGGCAGATGAACTATTGCAATATTGAAAAATATTGGGTGGTCTTAAACATGGGCAGATGAACTATAGCAATATGAAAGAATATCGGGTGGTCTTAAACCTGGGCAGATGAACTGTAGCAAAATGAAAGAATACCGGGTGGTCTTAAACATGGACAGATGAACTGTAGCAATATGAAAGAATATTGGGTGGTCTTAAACCTGGGCAGATGAACTATAGCAATATGAAAGAATACTGGGTGGTATTAAACCTAGGCAGATGAACTATAGCAATATGAAAGAATATTGGGTGGTCTTAAACATGGGCAGATTAACCATAGCAATATGAAAGAATATTGGGTGGTCTTAAACCTGGGCAGATGAACTATAGCAATATGAAAGAATATTGGGTGGTCTTAAATCTGGGCAGATGAACTATAGCAATATGAAAGAATATTGGGTGGTATTAAACCTGGGCAGATGACTGACTGAGTTTGGTTTTACACCGCTTTTAGCAATATTCCAGCAACATCACGGCGGGGGACACCAGAAATGGGCTTCACACATTGTGCCCATGTGGGGATTCGAACCCGGGTCTTCGGCATGACGAGCCAACGCTTTAACCATTAGGCCACCCCACCGCCCCACATGGGCAGATGAACTATTGCAATATGAAAGAATATTGGGTGGTCTTAAACCTGGGCAGATGAACTATAGCAATATGAAAGAATATCGGGTGGTCTTAAACATGGGCAGATTAACTATAGCAATATGAAAGAATATTGGGTGGTCTTAAACCTGGGCAGATTAACTATTGCAATATGAAAGAATATTGGGTGGTATTAAACCTGGGCAGATGACTGACTGAGTTTGGTTTTACGCCGCTTTTAGCAATATTCCAGCAACATGACGGCGGGGGACACCAGAAATAGGCTTCACACATTGTGCCCATGTGGGGATTCGAACCCGGGTCTTCGGCGTGACGAGCCAACGCTTTAACCATTAGGCCACCCCACCGCCCCACATGGGCAGATGAACTATTGCAATATGAAAGAATACTGGGTGGTCTTAAACCTGGGCAGATGAACTATAGCAATATGAAAGAATATTGGGTGGTCTTAAACCTGGGCAGATTAACTATTGCAATATGAAAGAATATTGGGTGGTATTAAACCTGGGCAGATTAACAAAAGCAATATGAAAGAATATTGGGTGGTCTTAAACCTGGGCAGTTTAACTGTAACAATATGAAAGAATATTGGGTGGTCTGAAACCTGGGCAGATTAACTATTGCAATATGAAAGAATATTGGGTGGTCTTAAACATGGGCAGATGAACTATAGCAATATGAAAGAATATTGGGTGGTCTTAAACCTGGGCAGATTAACTATTGCAATATGAAAGAATATTGGGTGGTTTCAAACCTGGGCAGATTAACTATTGCAATATGAAATAATCAGATGGCCCTAGACCAAAACAGATTAAGTATAGTAAGATGAAAGAGTCTGTCCTTAACCTGTACCCATAAACTATAGTAATATGAAAAAAATCCATGCTTCAACTTGTGTTGAGTAGTACAAGTAAAGTATTGAAATTAACTTTCCTTTTCAATGTCCTGAATGAAATAAGTAAAATGGTAAACACAGAACCCCTGAGTGGAACAACATGTCATGTGCAGTTTGTTTGCAAACAAACATCAAGCAAGGTAACTTAACTCATGGAACAACTGCTCAACCTTATCCATTGCTTTAATTCCATCAGCATCAATGAATACTGAATTCTACCTGTAAGCACCCAAACATATCACAAGGAAGAAAACTAAAACACCATTGAAAACCATACCCCCATATTCCAAACGGATAAGCAGAGGAAAATGTTCAATGACAGAACATGTGAAATGGCATCAAGCATATCAAGAAATAACAAGAAAGCTAAACGAAGGGACAAAAACGAATAAAATATATCACAAGAATCAAGGTTGTCTCCGACATGCCATTAACAATTGAAATGTAATCATGAATATTTTCAAATTACACAGATAATTGTTAGAGAAGGTATTTGTGAAAATATTCCCTACTGGGCAATTATTTCCCTTAAATGATTGTTATAGTTTCCAAAAATGAGAAGACGAGATTGAAGAATGAACACAGAGGGTGCAAGGATACCAAGCAAATAGGAAACAGGTGCTTTAAGAAACGGGTGCTTAATACATGGAACTCAGCAGTTACCATAGTTACAAAGTACACATATTCAGAGTCGAAGACAAAACACAAAGCTCATGAATTTCATTCCTTCCATCTGATCGTGTTTTCAAGGAAGATCTCAGCCACCAGAGGAAGTGAGGCACAATACAAATGAGTGGTTACTGTACAAAGCCACCCCATCACATCAACACAAATGGAACAAAGCGATACGCAGGAGAGAAATGAACGGTAAGACCAAAATTTGATGAAATGTAACCTTAGCTGGGCCTGGCTGTCTTTCTTAGGCCTTTAAATTTTTACATGTTGCTTTAGAAGACCTCCGCCACTGAAAGCTAGAAAATTAAAATAAATGAATTGATGTCAAGAAAATATGTTTGTAAATCCAGTATCAAATCAAATGTCATGTTTTCAGAAACAAACCATCAGCCATTATCCCACAGAACTGATTTTTGCACTGAATTGATCTTACTTAATTTCCTGCTTGGCACCATTCATTGTTTTATATCTGAACTATTCTTTTACCATGCAAACATAACTGAACTTATTTGATATTTTTCAGTTTTCAGTGACATTTGCCAACTGAAATGTTTGAAGAATACGAAACTAGAATGGAAGCAACTTTTGTTATTATTTGTAACAGCATCTCAGGGTTTCTTATGAACGTCAATAAGAACTACAAACAATGCAAAACGTTGTGATCCCTAAAAGAATTATGTCTTTATGTCCTTGAAGATTTTGGGACATTTTGTGTGTAATTTTTCAACATAAGATGAAAGATTCAGGTTATGATACATTATGCTAAAACAGTGTCTTAATCTGATGATATAATTATTTCTAGAACAGCACAGATGTTCCCAAAACCTATGTTCTTGTATTCACCCAGGAGTAGGTGAGGTTTCATCAAATCAGAGGTTAGGATTGTCAACTATATGCACTCACAAAACATGACTATCAAATAAAGCACACACTACTACCTCTACTGGTATTCCACACTGATGCAAATGTGTGTCACCTATCAGCCATCTTGCAGCTATGTGCCCACGAGACAAGAGTACCATGCTATACACATGTGGGATTCAAACTCAGGCCGTCGGAGAGTCCAGTCCAAGATCATGCAGTTGGATACTACAGTTTAAGTTCAGGACAACCTACAGTCCTAGCAAGATTGTGTTCACCACTAAACGGTAAATTAATTACGACTCAAATGTTCCTGATCATAATCCTAAATTTGAACATAAGATTCGGGAGTCCATATATTCAATAATTTAGAAACAAACCTCAAACACTATTTATTTGTCTGCTGATGCAAAATTTACAAATTACAATTTAGTTGATAATGATGACCCAAAATAACCAGACTAGTTTTCACACAAGCCAATAACAATATCAATGTATGTTATATCTATCAATCAAGGATTGCCTCCCTGTGTAATGGAAATATGAATAATCGGAGTGTTACTTGTGACCAAAACTGTCTGTGTGTGATGATAGCATGCATTAATGGATGCATAACAATAGTCATAAATTTTAGATGCCTACAACAGATTACGTGAGGCTGCAAAGGACTGCAGGTGACTTGTGCATGATCGTGCATAACGTGTATGACCATGAATGACAATGCATGTACATGTATGACAACATATTCCAGTCTTATCTAGCAGCGCTATGTACAGCCTAAAGACCATGTGATCTTGTATGACCACATACGACCTAGTGTGACAACCATGCATGACCTAGTTTGACCATGTATGCCCTAGTAAGTCAATGTCAGGTCTAGTACAACCTCATGACCTGGTATTAGCTTATAACCTTGTATGAAAATGAATTACATAGAATGGCAACACATGACCTAGTATGAATTCACATGACCTAGCTGGCTATGTAAGACCTAGTATGACTACATATGACCTAGTATGATCTATACATTACCTAGTATGAATTCATATGACCCAGTATGATCTATAATGACCTAGTATGATCTATACATGACCTAGTATGATCTATACATGACCTAGTATCATCTATACATGACCTAGTATGACATATACATGACCTAGTATCATCTATACATGACCTAGTATCATCTATACATGACCTAGTATGATCTATACATGACCTAGTATGACATATACATGACCTAGTATGATCTATACATGATCTAGTATGACATATACAAGACCTAGTATGATCTATACATGACCTAGTATGATCTATACATGACCTAGTATGATTTATACATGACCTAGTATGACATATACATGACCTAGTATGATCTATACATGACCTAGTATGACCTATACATGACCTAGTATGACCTATACATGACCTAGTATGATCTATATGAATGACCGTGTGTATAACCATGATGACAGCATGCCACATTCAACACTATCATGACGGTGTCCACAGACGGACCAAGGCAAGGGTATATGGAACCATGGTAATAACTTGATGATAATTACCTACCCGGTCTGCTGCTGTTGTTGTTGCTGTTGTTGTAATTGCTGTTGTTGTTGTTGCTGCTGTTGTTGTTGTTGTTGCTGTTGTTGCTGTATCTGTTGGGTTTTTGTATGTGATGATGTATTTTTCTTTAGTATTGTTTGGGCTGGGCCATTGCCATTACAGATTGGATTGTCGGGGAACTTGATCAACAAACGCTGACCTTCACACTCAACGCCCTGAAACACAGAAGTCAGACATGTCAAAATATTTCTCAGTCACAAGTAATTCAAAGAGCATGGTTCTAGAAGCAGAACACCAAAAATGGACCTAAAGACATTAAACAATCACAAAGCTGTACAAATACTGAGATGAAGTTAGCTTACAATTTATTTCAACTAGCACTTGAATCTTAATGAAACATCCATTCATTGTTATTTTGATCCATATGTACCAACGTCTGGTTGAATGTTATTTAACATTACAGAAAGCAATATTCCGGCAAAATTGCTACAGATATCATTACACACAGACAATACTCAAACCTGAACAATGTAAACCAATGACACAGGATAAACTATTCATGGTAGTCTTACAAATGGGGGAACTAGAGAGCTAAATCATAAACACATCATAAACAGTAGTGAGTGAGTGAGTTTAGTTTTACGCCGCACTCAGCAATATCCCAGCTATATGGCGGTGGTCTGTAAATAATCGAGTCTGGACCACACAATCCAGTGATCAACAGCATGAGCATTGATCTGCGCGATTGGAAACCGATGACATGTGTCAACCAAGTCAGCGAAACTGACCACCCAATCCCGTTAGTCGCCTCTTACGACAAGCATAGTCGCCTTTTATGGCAAGCACATGGGTTGCTGAAGACCTATTCTACCCCGGACCTTCACGGGTCTCATAAACATTAACACGGGGGGGCAGACGCACACCCAATACACTGTTCATAAAGGATTTCACACATACAAGAGAATGACAACCCTGAAATACCCCATCAGTATCCCCAACACAACAATAATGAACGACCACTGTTTGACCTTGTCACCCACCTGTAAAGATTGCATAGCTTTTCCTGCTGACACAGGCATTTTAAAATTTACAAATGCACAATACTTGTCTGGTAAAAGCCTCACGCTGGTCACTGTACCATATCTGAAAAAAAACATAAATGTGAAACACCCAGGATGAACATACCACAGCAACTTGGTTAGAGGGATTACTCAATCTTCTGTTAATAACTGTCTCCTTTACTCCATTTTATTCACGAGTTATCACTCAATCATACAAAATTTTCATCATTATTTTAATAGCTATCCTATTAAATCCCTAATATCTGTACAAAAATACCCCTTGAACATTATGTAAAGTTCAAAATGAAGAAAGAATAGCTTAGGGACCGTTCATAATTTATGGCTAGGGGGGTGATGATGATTTTAAGGGGGGTCACCCATTTTGTTCTGGGGAGTGGGGGGTTTGTCAGCAATTGTGTACTTAAAAATATGAAAAGATTATGCTAAAAAATTATTGGAAGGGGTTGGGGGGGCCATTGATTTTGTACATGTTATGCAAAGGGGGGTCACTTACTTTGTGCGTAAATTTTAAGGGGAGTCATTCACATTGTACATGCTTCTGCATAAAAATCATCATCATCCCCCCTTGCCATAAATTGTGAACGGTCCCTTATGTCAAAAGTCAACGTCTATATACTTTATATAGCTACAATAATATATTACAGCAAAAGGCCTCAAACATTCCTAGGCCATCTTATTTCTTTCAGCAATATGGAAAATCATTAGACATGCCAAGTTAATAGATGTAAACTTACTTTTGAAACATTTGAACCAATTTTTTTTCTGTGACCTGAGGTAAAACATTTCCAACCCACAACGCAGTGAGACCCTCTGGATTATTGAAACTGTGAACAAAAACAAGACAACATGTCAGCACCAAGACTCACTACTGGCAAATTACATGAGCAGTGTTTCTATTACTCCCTTGAAATTATTAGTAATGCATCTAAATTTGTTTAATTTTCTAAAAATGTGTGGTGGGATACATTTTAAAATTTCTTCAAACAAATAACTGTTCAAGAAAGCTTTGTCTACTGATTATACAGAAGTTATTGTTTGTTTGGTTAGTTGGTTGTTTAATGCCACACTCAGCAATATCCCAGCTTTATGATGGTGGTCTGTAAATAGACTAGTCTGGAACAGACGATCCAGTGATTGACATGATGAAGACTGCTTTAAGATGGCACCTCATAATGGAGACTTGCTAAAGCAGATAATATGTAATGAAGACAGGTTTGAGCTGGTAATATGTATAGACAGGTTTGAGTGAGTGAGTTTAACTTTACATCACACTCAGCAATATTCCAGCTATATGGCAGCGGTTTGTAAATAATCAAGTCTGGACCAGACAATCCAGTGATCAAAAGCATGAGCATAGATCAACGCAATTGGGATACGATGACAATCACGTGTCAACCATGTCAGCGAGCCTGACCACCCAATCCCATTAGTCGCCTCTTACAACAAGCATGGGTTGCTGAAGACCAATTCCAAGCCGAATCTTCATGTGTCAGACAGGACTGAGCTGGTAATGCGTATAGACAGATAGTTGAACGTACTCCATTTTTATATCAGAAGGCTGTGACTGCTGAAAGGGCTGTAACCGGGAACTGGACGTTGTTATGAACTCATCTTCATCAGAGAAATAAACCTCTCCTGATAATGAGTTTTCCGCTGAAATAGGGAATGATAGCACTAACAGGGTGTTAAATAATTAAAGTACAGAAGTACTGTGGTTGACCGAATGTCAAAATTATCATAGCAACTTAAACAATAATATTCACGACCACCATTGTGCTACAGTATCAAAAGTATTAACATGATCAATGACAATATAAGTAAAAACATTTGTACATCATTAAGTTTCTATTTGTAATATTAACCAAAACATACGCATTTGAACGAACACGTTAACATCCACTGTAATTAAGTCCATACATCCATCAACAATCAAAGGGATTATCCTTCATTCTCTAACACTGACTGACTGACTGAGTTTGGTTTTACGCCGCTTTTAGCAATATTCCAGCAATATCACGGTGGGGGACACCAGAAATGGGGAACACCAGAAATGGGCTTCACTCATTGTACCCATGTGGGGATTCGAACCCGGGTCTTCGGCGCGACAAGTCAACGCTTTAACCACTAGACTACCCCAACGCCCCTCATTCTCTAACACCTTCTGCTGAACATAGGACGCATCAGACATAAATTTTTTTTGCAAAAACCCTCACAAAGTGGGATGGATAGAGGTTATATCAAAGTGCTATATACCGTATAAACTGTTGCTAAAACTTAGTCACACAACACTAAATTGAGATCAATCACATTTGAGTGGGGCTGCTTAATATGGACTGTTCACAAACTCTATATCCTAGTCTGTCATTACATCAGACTGTTCACTTACCAACTCCTGCTAATAGTGAGTCTAATGCAGTCTGGACAGAGCCGTGTTTCTTTATTGAAGCTTCTGCTTGTTGTCGTGAAAAACCCATTTCCTGAAAGATACAAGCGGAATACATGTCAGGATATGTTGACCAGTCCACACATGTTGGTAGCTTCCTTTAAGACAATTTGAGCCTCTCACTTACTGATCTTTAGTCTCAGGCCACTTTCTTCGCATTACTCTAAGTAATATTATTACAAACTTTACTGATCCTAACTAAACATTCCCAAGATCATTTCAAGTCATGTCTCAGTCCAATAATATCTGATCTAATATTCTGATAATTTCGGATTAAGTTATTAACTGAGTGTGTCTCTCTGTCGTAAGTATCATATATTGGGAATACTATGTGTATCTTTTCAGGTCAGGGGTATGAAATATGGCCAGGCTGCTATCAGGACCCACAGTCTTCAGAAGCTGCAGGAGATTACTTAACTCTTCAGGTCCTTATATAAACAAATAAACTGACACATAAATTTACTGCTAGCCAAAAAGGTTCCACACAGATTTGAACATTATTTCAACAGTTCATGAGATATCGCGTTAACAAGAATCGAGACATACGGACGCCGTTGAATACATAGTCCCCCGTTCCGCGTTGCGGAGGGGGACAACAAGCTTGTGCCATGAGATACTGTATGACATCATGATGCTGAGTTGTCCTGCAGTCACGCTTGAGAACATAAGCATGCCATGAGTCTGATGTCTTTGTGGCCATGGATGTACCAGTAATTAGCAATGGCCCTTGCTGTGAGACCATAGGTGGAAACATACGTAACAACTACCCTGACTATTTGCTGAGTTTACTAAACCATTCAGACTTTTGTTACCCCAAATAGATGGCTTAGTTTATCGCCATCTTTAAAGCGACCCAATGTATAAGGCGACACCCCTGAACAACCTCCAAAAGAAGTGCCAGCTTTTATACCCCATCAGCTAAGCAACCCTAATTAGTGGTGGTCCGATTAATTGACATAATCGAACATTGGTCGCAGTGACCAAATGACCAAGCAATTGATCACATTTTCTCATAATCAAACACAAACAATTTTGGAACTACTGTTTTAGTGTTTGAAACACTTGGAGATGCAACATATCATAGGAGTTGTCATAGACAAAAAACGTGTTCAATTCTTAGAAAACTCACTTCACTTACTGAAAAGTCATGACTGAATATTTCTTGAAGACTCCAGGAAGTTTGTTTTCATGATATATTAGCCATCACTTTAAAGTAGCAAGTTGCATCATTTTAACTAAAAAATATATAACAAAAACACCCCAAAAAAATAAAAATAAAAAAACCCACAGAGAACAACCTGAATAGGAAAATCTGAAAAATGATGCTAACCAATTTCTTTCGGTGATTGCTCGTTGATAATGAAGCAATCATCAATTGTGAGATTTCAGCCAATTCCCAACACTAACCCTAATGAAGCAATCATCAATTGTGAGATTTCAGCCAATTCCCAACACTAACCCTAATGAAGCAATCATCAATTGTGAGAGTTCAGCCAATTCCCAACACTAACCCTAATGAAGCAATCATCAGTGCATACACTTCGGCATCACCAATCGAACCTTAAAGTGATGCAGCTACAAAAAAAATAGTGAGATCTTCTTCGTGCATGAGGCATCCCCCTTCAAACTCCTCTTATCTTAGGTAACAAAAAGCTCACCCTATACCCAGCAATATATATTAATTGAATATGTCAGGACAGAGTAAACGCTGTACTCACTGTAAGCTGGTAGGTTCGAACTCGCAACAGCTCCTGTACAGCATCATCACAGTTTTTATCTAGTTTTAGCACCTGCATAAACGCTTTTTCTGCTTCAGGGAAAAGCTGGAAAAAGAACCCAAAATATTATGAACACTGATATTCCTGTCAACAGTTATTCCAACAAACTAAAGAGATCCTTGACCTACATTCACATGTTCAGCTCTGAGGAGTGAGTGAGTTTAGTTTTACGCCGCACTCAGCAATATTCCAGCTATATGGCGGCGGTCTGTAAATAATCGAGTCGGGACCAGACAATCCAGTAATCAACAGCATGAGCATCGATCTGCGCAAATGGGAACCGATGACATGTGTCAACCAAGTCAGCGAGCCTGACCACCCAATCCCGTTAGTCGCCTCTTACGACAAGCATGGGTTACTGAAGATCAATATTCTAACCCGAACCTTCACGGGTCTGTCACTTTGTAGAGCTACAGCCAAATGTCATTTGGGATAACTACAACGATATATCATCATGATCATTTTGTAAAACTACAACTAAATCAAATTTTGTATACCTGGTAACTATGATATTTTCTTTAACTAGAAGTATGTTCTTTGGCAAAAGTCCAGTATTACATATATTGCTAAAAAGAATTTAAACTACCAACAAACATTAAACAGTTTCTTAAGCATCACGATACTTTCTTTTCTTCATCTTTATCAAGAAATTACCAGTACTCCGGTGGTGAGTGTATTAGAACAGAAACTCAAATACTCCTGACATTGAGATCCCCTGAAAGGATAGGTTAAAGAAAGAAATATGAAAGGCGATATGAATTTCAACCATTTGATAAAATATTGTACAGGACTGTCAACTTTCTGAAACCTATACACACCTTGAGCCCTGCCAGAGCCCTTCCTTTCCTAAAATAACCTTTTGCCCAGTCCTTTGCAAGAACGATGGCTTTTTCAGCATCACGTAAAGCTCTGAAAACATATGAAAGAATGATGAGTTTTGGTGTCAATCCTGTATGTCTGCACTAAACTGTTTTAAGTTTCAATTTCACAATTTCAATATCAATTAAACAATTTCAAAAATGTCTGAATGACTACAATGAACTTACTTTTCATATTGGTGTATTCGATCATAACAGTAGGATCTGTTTCCAAAAAATCTGAAAAGTAAACCATTCATTTGATCAAGATAACATACAAAATATCAGTCTGACATTTTAACGTTTCAACTACTACTTCATCTTTCATTGACAAAAAAGTTCACAAAAATCTATAAACATAAACATAAATCCCAGAACTGTCACAGAACAAGAACATAATTTCTTAATACTGCACATTCATATTTCAAAGCTAAATTTTATAGTGGTCTGCACTTCATGTGATTGCTGTTACCTCCCTTTCTCCATTTAAGTTCACATTCCACAAAATAGTCTGCATAACTACATAATGCACACCCTAGTTTTAGAAAATTATACATGTTTACTTCTTTGTGTGACATTTTACAAGTTGGGATGTACAATAATGACATATTTTATGAACAGCAACTTCTAATATCTTATAAGTGAAACATTTCAATATAGGTTCTTGTACCATTGACTTGCTTGACATTATGTTATCCATAAAACTAGTCATCATCGTATGCTGATTGTTTAACACCTAACTAAGCAATATTTCAGCCACATGACAGCAGCCAGTAAATAATCTAGTCTTGACCTGACAATCCAAATCCAGACAGTCAAGAAACAAATCATTCTCTTCCCACAGAGGTTACTTGTCATTTCTTCCTACGAACCTCTGTTCTAATACGGCCCTTTCATGGTGCGAGTGTTCAGGATTCGTGATTGGTTGCAATCAGATTTAGTTGTGCAATCAGCGACGTTGTTTCAAAAGTGATCATTCGCAAGGCCTCGGTTATTTCCGTATGCTTCGAGAAAACTAGAACCTCTTTCCCTGCGCGATGCGTAAATGTTTCTTATAGACAGAACTCGGTCATGTAAATGGTGGATCAATGGCATCTCCATCGCCCTCGTTGACAACGGATAAGCTAGCCATTAAATGTCTTGTATATCACATCAACACAAGTTCCTGGCAGAGGAGGGATATTTGTGACCCAACATTTGCTTGTATTAGTCAAGTTGATGTAACACGTGTTCTGATTGGACAGAAAGAAGGGAGATAATTCGTGTTGCGATTTTCTGCCGCTAGGGGATTTTACGAGAACCGGGAAATATGACCGTATTAGAACAGAGGTTCATAGGAAGATATGACAAGTAACCTCTGTGGGAAGAGAATGGAAACAAATGTGGAACATACAAAATGTACCTTGACGAGGAGACTAGGTTCATTAGTGTATTTCTTTACTGTGTATATTCATATACTCTAGGTCATAACAATGGAACTGTGTGACGTACAGTACAGACAGTTTGTTCAGGGAATCTCTTCTAGAGAAAGAGAGTTTCCTTTACCTCAAGAGGGATCAGAACATTTTGACTTTGATGTGTCTGTACATTTCATCTTGAGAACTTTCTGTCACAAATGTAGCCTAAATGTGCAGAATAGCTAATCATATCCAGTGTTGACTCCTATATTGAAGGAGTGAGTGAGTATGTTTTACGCGGCTTTTAGCAATATTCCAGCAATATCATGGCGGGAGACAACAGTAATGGGCTTCAGACATTGTACCCATGTGGATATCAAACATGGGCCTTCGGCATGATCTGCGAATGCTTTAACCATTAGGCTACCCCACCGCCCCTGTATAGAAGGAAGAATGGCTCAGAGTAATCAATGTCCATCCATAACACAACTTACCTAAAATCTCTAGGGTCTAAATTGATAGCTTCTGTAAAAAGTTCAATGGCTGGGATGTAGTGACCTAACTGGGCCATTTCATTTCCTCTTACTGAAACAGAAAAGTGTTTATATTAGTGGTGTGACTATTGAAGTTACAAACACACACAAAATCGGTTGTGTGAAATGTGGAGATATACTTCACAAGAACAAATAATACTTTTTACACATTGTGTTGGAGTAAAATAATGTTGCATATTTTGCACAGTGGAATCTGAGACCGACTCATTTGTCCGGATTGTAAAGCAGTCCGTATTAGACAACTTTTGTCCGTTACCGTGTTCAATGCCACGATGAGTTACCTCCCTTTGCTGAGGACAACCAAAAACTTCTTCGTTCTTTTTGGTTTTTTATTTATACTCAATATATTATTTATACTTTCACTGGAAAAAGTCTGTTAATCCATTTATGCATATTGTCCCCTTTTTGGGACGGGTACTTCAAAAAGCATTTCTCTCCTATTGTTGAAGATAGAAACCTGCAGTTTAGATGTGAATGAAGCTGAGTACATTGTTTAGTGGTTGAACCATTCACATTACTTGTAGAGTTTAAGTTCTTTAAGCATGGCCACTTCCAGTGACAAGGCGGGTCCCCTGCCAATTCGGCAAAGTGTGCGGTAAGATGACTTTTTCATTGGTCCCTATTTTAACTATGTAAGTTCATTAGAAAGTGTTAAAAATAAAACGAAAATGGTTTGCATTTTTTCAATACTCAATTTTCCGCCAAAGTACCGTCCCAAAAATGGGACAATATGCAGATGAGAGAACTAAGATTAGGTCATACATTAGGCTTAGGTGGGGGAGATCAACCTCTTAAATCTTCAAAATGACTCTTTTCATTTGAAAGCTTTTTCTAACCAATCAGAATCCAGTATTTACTGAAGTCATGGTAGAATAAGATTTTATGCCTACTTTTGTCACATTTACTTCACAGCTTGGGATGACAGAAATCAGCTTCACTGACTGAGTTAACCATTTAAATACTGATGGCCCCTTCATAAAGAGACAGCTGTGGTTTTACCACGCAACACTCACTTGCTAACTGTCGACTCCGCAGTACTATTGGATCTAAATCTTCCACCTGAAGAAAAACCATCACATATCAGTTATGTTATGTTATGTCTCTTTAAAAACGTTTGCTCATATTCAAATAATGGAAATAACACTCCCTGAAAACCTTTAAAACAGACATTTTAACCCCCTTTCAATCTTTTCCCTACATTCAGTGTTGTTTACATAATCCATGAACCTTAAAGGGCCCATATCACATCTTATCCATTCACTATAATCCTCTTGTATTCAATTCTTTTTAGTAAATTGTAATATTTTAATCTGAAATTTGTTCAACTACAAAATGCATCTAATTACCTCTTCTTCACTCTTAGCACCGGACTGTTGCTTGTCTTTTGTTTTATCTTTTCTCCCTGTCTGTGATGTTTCTGTTGTAGTCTGACCTTTCTTCTTTTTATTTACAACTTTTGTGAAAAATGCAGAATTGGGGTCAAAACCCTGAAAACGAAAATGAACGGGTACATCACCATGACAACCAACTTCTCTGACATAAAACAAAAAGAAGATGATCCCAATCTGACTCCCACAGGAGATACTGCTTATGTAAGAACTCGTGGATGATATTACTGAGGAGATAGGAGATATATGCTGGGAGATATTACTGAGGAGATAGGAGATATATGCTGGGAGATATTACTGAAATAGGAGATTATCCTGGGAGATGTTACTGAGAAGATAAGAGCTTTATCCTGGGAGATATTACTTAGGAGATAGGAGATATATCCTGGGAGACATTACTTAGGAGATAGGAGATATATCCTGGGAGATATTACTGAGATAGGAAATATATCTTGGGAGATATTACTGAGGAGATAAGAGATATATCCTGGGAGATATTACTTGGTGATATGACATAGAAGCTGGCAGATATATCCTAGAAGATATGACTTTCCTTGTCACCCATTGGTTGATTTATGTTAGCTTGGGGTTTAATCTTCCCATTTAATACAAATGACTCTAATCTGACAAACAATTGCTAAAAATACTTTCATGCCATCAATGCAACCATAAAACTTTCAGACATATTTTCTACTCTGACACCAAACACGAATATTGCGAAATGTACAAAATGATAGGACTTCTCACCAAAATTCAATAAGATCAAAAAAAACTACACTGCATGTGTGTAAACATCGGCTGATGTCAGCAAGCTGACAATGCCCAAATGAAAGCAATGCAGACACCCAAGTCAATGTCACAATGGTATCAATCAATGGATTATAACTGCAATAGTGTGACAATAAACAGGAATTAGTGTGAGAACTTACAGCTTCTTCTGCTTCGGAAGATGATCCACTGTGACCTCTGAAATGAATCATTACCATGGTTACAATTGAAACCAATAAATTAATTTCAAGTATAAACATATTTTTTATAAACAGAACATTATTGATAAGAAGATGATTGATTATATCCAATACAGCAGCTGTTGATGGTTTTAGAAACTCACTTTTTGTCTGACCTCCTCCCCTTCTCACCGGATTTCTCCCTCTTTGGCTTCTCATCCTGCAAGAACAGTAACAATGCAACAGGTCCTCTAACTCAAGGGGAGACAACTATGCCTTACTTATGAATCAGGAGAGACTCGTTCTCAATAATATCAGATCTAACTTCTCGCTACCTCTAAACAAACAGAGTGAGTGAGTGAGTATAGTTTTACGCCGCTTTTAGCAATATTCCAGCAATATCACAGCGGGGGACACCAGAAATGGGTTTCAGAGAGACACACTTAGACTAAGGCTTAGTCTCTGAATATATATAATTTTGATAGTAACAAACAAGCCCATTTAAATTGAAAAGGAGACCCAGGGAGACCAGAGATTCAGAACCTGAGGAAATCTAGACTTTATTTTGGGCTTTAGCACTGCAGAGAGAGCTTGGCAGTGAGGAAAATAGTGTGGTTCAGGGTCTGTGAGACAGACTTGAGACAAACTGAGAACTATCATGTTGTTTTCTTTGTTACATTCAGCATATATACATCCTGTCCACTTCATGTTACATTCCTGCCTGACAACAGTACAAGAATCTGTATCGGAACATCACACTCACAAAATAGAAGAAGTTGTTATAAAGTTTGTCTATATTGTACTTCAGAACCTATAAAATGCCACTCAAAGAAAACTGCCCAGTGAATTAACTGCTTGTCAGTAGTAAAGAAAGGGTGTTTCCAGTTTGGCAGGTGTTGCTTTTCAAGCTTAAATAACTACTGAACAAGGGACTCCCAAGTACAGAAATTTACAGTCATCCATGCCAACTGTACCTTCTGGTCCTGTTTTTCCAGCTTCTTCCTCTCCCGTCTTCTCTGCAAACAGGATATGAAATACACTATTATTTTCCACAGTACAATGTATGGGGGCTGTTTAACTTTAAAACACATGCTGTGTGCACATATCTTTGACTAGAGACTTAGAACAGGGAATGAAGATGCAAATTAAGTTTAAGACTCCTAGGGCCAACCCCTTCCTATAAAGGAGTGAGCAAGTGAGTTTAGTTTTATGCCTCACTCAGCAATATTCCAGCTATATGGCGGCGGTCTGTAAATAATAGATCTGGACCAGACAATCCAGTGATCAACAGCATGAGCATCGATCTGTGCAATTGGGAACCGATGACATGTGTCAACCAAGTCAGCGAGCCTGACCACCCGATCCCATTAGTCGCCTCTTACGACAAGCATGGGTTACTGAAGATCAATATTCTAACCCGGACCTTCACGGGTCTCCTATAAATGACTTTCCCAATACATGCTGGTTTCAGCAAGTGTTCCTGCATAACTTGCAACATGGTGAACATACTTTCTTTTTCGCTTTCCGCTTCTCTGCTTTCCTTTTTTCTTTTTCTTCTTCTGTAATAAGTTCTTCAGCATTTCTATTTACCTCCTGAAAAATAAAGTTTCATGTCACATGAAGGTAAACTGACACACAACATCACTGATGGACATTTAGTTCAGTGTAAGTGAAGTACTACAAAAACCTTTTTGGTTCATCTTATAAATCTAATCAGAATCACATACCTTTTCTTAAGGCTTCAGAAACAGTTTTGAAAAGATGGTACTGGTGCTACATAAAAAATATACTGAACTAAAATGACAAGTTACCTTGTGTTTATTTTTAGATGCTATATACACATATACATTGGCAATATCCCAGCTACATGACAGCCTTATATTAAAGTCTGGACCAGACAATCCAGTGATCGATATCACGAACAACAAACCATGAGGGTACTTTGACAAGCCAATAACAAAGTCACCAAGCCAGACCACCAATCCACTTGGTCACATCTTTCAACAAGCAAGTTTTCCTGGAAAGTCAACTCATGGTTGCCTGTCGGCTATAAAGAAACACCTACCTCAGCTGTTAGATGCCGGGAGTTGTCTCGACCTACAACAAAAGAAAGCCACTATTCAACTGCATCAATAAACACATCAAACCCATTGGAGTGCATAGCTTAGTATTGGGATCAATGTTTATTACAGTCTATTACCCAGCTAATCAATACACAAGATGTGTATGTCTAACAAACAAACAATACAGGACAACAAAGCAATGTGCTAGAAATTAACAAACAACAAAACTTCAAATAAGAGAGAGCAGTTACCAAACTGTTTACTTGTTTACTAAATAAACATCTTAATTTCCCAGTGTAACAGGCCTGCAAGTTTTCTCCTTGCTAGATTTTTTACAGCCATTAAAGTAAATAATATCAGCTTTACTCATAATATTGGTTCTCTAAAAAAAACATAGGATCGTTATTGTAGGTAATGCATTAACATATGGAGGTAAAGTTGTTTTACAGCTGAGATTTGTTGTACAGCTGAGATTTGATACAATGTATGCATCTGAACCACAAAAATCAGATCTACTGTTTTCTTACTGAGTGAGTGAGTGAGTAAGTGTGTTTAGTTTTACGCCACTTTTAGCAATATTTCAGCAATATCACGGCGGGGGACTGAAATGTGGGGAATCGAACTCAGGTCTTCGGCATGATGAGCGCACGCTTTACTACTAGGCTAACCCATCGCCCCCCTTTTCTTACAAGAATTAGTTCTGACTAGCTCAACACATCACAATTAAGTATTTGGGGTGGGATGGTGGGTCACAAAACATAGTATCCTTTAATAAGGAATAAAACAAGAGTCCTCAGGATATGACATATTTCTAAGTCTGCTACAATTCAGAAATGGAGTCTGGCTTCTTATACCCTACATTTGGTTCCCTGCCATTGGATAACTTCTGTTCAGTGAAGAAAACAATAATGCTGTTGAGCATTTTTAATATCACAAATCATCAAGGTGAGGTCAGGTTGGGTGAGGTGAAATTGGGTTTTACGTCGTGCTTGAGAACATTTCGCCCATATGACGACGTGCATGCGTGTGTATGTGTATGTGCGGCTGCTTGTACTAGCCCAGACTTAAGCTGGTTTTATAGTGCTAGCCCACTGAGATACCATGCCGCAGTGAAGCATGAATACCCCACTCAGACACATTATACTGACTCCGAGCCGACCAGTCCTTGTTGTACCCATTAATGCCGAGCGCCAGGCAGGAACCAACAAGTACCATATTTTAACGTCTTTTGGTATGACGCGGTCGGGGATCGAACCCGCGACCTTCCGCTCTCCGGGCGGATGCTCTAACCACTACACCACTGAGGCTGTCACAAATCATCAAGAGGTACCAGTATACCACAAGACTTACCTCTATCCAGAAACGAGCACCACCCTATTCTCAGTCCAGTAATAAATTGTCATTATTGAAACATAATGAATTACAAAAATATAGAAACCAAATCTTCAAAAGGCACAGCTTGACTACTTATCTAAGTACTTCCACCCTGGCACCATGGTATGGTGCCCACAAATCATGGATCATATTTACAACAAGTGGATTGATAATGGTCGCGTACCGATCCATCAAATTTCTGATTTCAGAGTAGTAAAATGCATTCTACGGATCAGCACTGTGATCTTAGCTATGAATTAGTTATCAAAACATTGGATCATACCAAAAAACAAATATGCAAGGGGTGTTGGATGGTTTGACTCTCTATATTTTTGTACTTTTCTACAGTATACATGTATATCTTTGCCTACTCATATGATACAATGAGAAATTGATGCATTAAATGTAGGTTTAGATTCTCTATATTTTTTTACTTTTGTACAAAATTGAAATTGATGCATTAAATAAAATGCATTCATAAGGAGAAATATATAGTTTGTGATGTTCAAACTTCTCGAGTAGTAATTTAGACTTAGTGCATAAACCTGGGAGTGTAATAATGTAAGGTATACAAAGTCGCACGGTAGGGATTAAAATTAGGAGTCTCTCTAATCTCAAATATCTTTGTTATAAAAATTGCTTAACATAAAGTAAGTTTATCATTTTGGTTGGCTAGTGGTCCTACAAACTTAACACAAAAATGGGTGCTTTGTATAATATTCTGGTAGATACTTTTGTCTGCTCTCCTCATACCTAGGACCTACAAGGAGGACATGGAACTCGTCTTCATCTGTGTTTCTACAGAACAGGCAGAGCGATGCATCAGGGTCAGGGTTTTTAGCCCAATACAAGCTGACCCCTTAATTAATGAACTTAGACTCTCCCAGTGTGTTAACACAGTCTGAAATTCGACCGATTAGGACAGAACCACTCAAGCATGATTCGACGGATCGGCACTGCTGGCTGTTCAACGTTCGACGGATTAGGCCATAACCTTGATAATCAGCAGATACCCACCCGGATCAGCAACAGTTGTTTAATCACATTATCAAGGATCAAGAAATGGATGAATCTATGATCAAAACCTGCTTTCAGCGGATTCAGGAACAACCAAGGGAGGGAATTCATCCTTAGTAAGTAAGTACTAACTCAGCATGTCATGAGAGAGTATGGTTTTACACCGCTTTTAGCAATATTCCAGGTATATCACGGCGGGGGACACCATAAATGGGCTTCCGACATTGTACCCACATAGGAATCGAACCTGGGTCTTCGGCGTGACGAGCGGACACTTTGACCATTAGGCTATCCCACCCGCCCCAGCATGTCATGAGTCAAATGTACTTTCTTTCTACATAGAGATCCTCTAACCCAGCATTCCAAAGGACACTGATTAAACATTCATGGCACACAAAGGCTCCATATCCGATATTAATTCCATCACAGCTGACTCGGTAGTACAATCAGCAAGACTTGTAAAACTGGTTTCGAACTGGTTTTGTCAGATACGGTCAGTCATTTTCAAAATAGATTGTTGAATAAATGATGTGATGGCTGATTATGTGTCAATGCTTTATCAGATGACTTCATAAAGAATCATATTTTCCAGCAACTGGAGTGCCTGGTTCAGACATTATTGCTTACCATAACCTGATTATTTTCCATTGTTTACCATGATATAGCAGGATATGGTCCCAGCACAAGACATTTAGGCCTAAAAAAAATGCTGTGGTTCCAATTACCCGACCGACCCTTGAATTCTGGTGCCTACCCTATCTTTTTTAGGCGGTATGAATAAAATAAGATTTCAGATACCATTGTTTTTCCCCGTCACCGACTGACATCGGCCTTTTTGATAGGGAAAGTCCACATGATGGCGGCAAGCTTGATTGAATAAACAATTACAAATTGATAAATGTGTTATTAGTTTGTACTTAACTTCTAAAAAAAATGTAAAAAATAAAATCCTACGTGTAACTACCCTAAAGAGGTGTAATCGGAACCACAACATTTTCGTGACAAATAATTACTACTCATTGAGGATTTTGATGAATATGACAAACGATATGTCTTCAGTAGTATATTTACTCAAAATATAAACATACAATAAAATGCTGCAGAACACTGCAGTGGTTTGTGATTCCTTTTTGATTTTCCGAATCAATAAATGTCATTCTGTATGCATTTTAAAAACATCCAGCCTGCACACAAGGTAAATTAGAACCGACACTGCATGAATGATTGATGATGACAAATAGGCTCAATACGAAGACTGCCATCTTGAAGATGGCGTTCCAACTGAAGCATCTGCACAACGAAACACAGGACCTTTCCATGACATGAGCAGCTCTGTTACTGGCTGACAATATATACACACATCAAGAGCTTCTTAAAGCATCCATACTGAACCAAATGTTTATATACATCTTCATTCTGCTGACTAATCATAAATGCATACAACCTGAAGCACAACACTGACTGTAAAATACCAAGCATTTACATTTCAAATTCAATGAAATAGAGCTTAAAATCAGTCCAAAGACAAATAAATGTGGCAGTAAATTAATGAAACAAAACCTAAAGGTACTGCATGTTTACATAGAGCCTGGCTTTGACAAGTATATCCAGCTGCTGATCATGTTTAAAACAGATGCCCAATCGGACAAGTTGAACCATCAGTTCTCCATCCAAACATGCTATGCAGTGACCATTTTGACCAACTGCTCCCAATGAGACATCTTTGGGGTACAGGGGGCATATTCCATGAATTCAAGAGGAAAGAGCAAAATTAGTGTAAAAGAAAAAAGAAAAACACCTACATATGCAATCATCGAGACGAACAGTACAGAGGCCGCCGTCAGTCCACATGTCCCAGGTCCCGGTTTAGCCTTGCATACCGGATGCAAGCAGTGGGTACATACTAAAATAGTCCTTGTCTTGCATTATTTATTGCCAGCATTTCAAGATAGCCTTGACATCAAGTCAGCATAGAATTATTGATCTTGATAAGTTATTTCCTATTTTTTACCTTTTCAAAGACAGAGGATGGCTCTTGACAAATAGTTGATCAGGTCATTAATTGGAATTGGCTGTGTAACCATGGTAACTGCCAAAGACTTACCCATTCTACTTCCTTCTTTCTTATTTCTGGGGGTATGATGATCTACTGACAGTATTGAAAACCTACTTAATCAACAAACACCTCAATGGAAAGATTTAAAAACATATATCTTCTGGATATGTTGTTGACATTTGAAAACATCAACAAAGATAACCACTTGACAACAATGTCAACTATGATATTTAGATATTTTCTTATTCAACTGAAAACTGACTTTAAAATCTGAATGATTTGAACCAATAATGCCTTCATAAGAATACAACGTTCAAAAATACATGGCCTATGTGATCAGGACACAGTAAGGCCAGTAAGAGCAGTTAATCTGGTCTTACAGTAAGTCGGGTAGACTAACACTTTTGGGTCAGACACTGCATGGGGTCAGCCAATGACTGGGGTCACACACAGTTGGGTCAGACAATGAGTGGGGTCACATAATGAGTAGGGTCAGACACTGAGCGGGTCACATAATAAGTGGAGTCAGACACTGAGTGGGGTCACATAATGAGCAGGATCAGACAGACACTGAGTGGGGTCAAGACAATGAGTGGGATCATCAGTGGGTCAGACACTGAGTGGGACACTGAGTCAGATAATGAGCAGGGGTCAGACACTGAGTGGGGTCACATAATGAGCAGGGTCATAATGGAGTGGGGTCAGACACTGAGTGGGGTCACATAATGGGTCAGTGGGGTCACACAGTTAGGTCAGACAATGAGCAGACACAGGGTCAGACACTGGGGGTCACATAATGAGCAGACACTGGGGGATCAGACACTGAGTGGGGTCACATAATAAGTGGAGTCAGACACTGAGTGGGGGTCACATAATAAGTGGGCAGACACTGAGTGGGGTGGAGTCAGACACTAAGTAGACACAGACACTGAGTGGGGTCACATAATAAGTGGACACTGGTCAGACACTGAGGTCAGGAGTGGGGTCACATAATGGGCAGGGTCAGACACTGAGTGGGATCACATAATAAGTGGAGTCAGACACTGAGTGGGGTCACACAGTTGGGTTAGACAATTAGTCTGGTCATTCACAGACTTGGGTTACCCAGTGAGTAGGGTCAGACATTGAGTGTGGTCACACGACGGATCAGTTCTCAGAAAGTATCATTAACCACCTGATCGTTATTGCTCTGCCTTTTCCACAAGTGCTGAATACTGCCCATGACTACACAGAGGGTGATATCCAGAACAAAGACAGCCCCGGAGCCATGTTTGCAATGAGCTACTGAGATTCCAAAATAGAAGACAGCCCCATGTGTATACAAGTGAATCAGTTTAATTCTACTACTTGGCAAACATGTCCACAATAATCAGGTCCAAATGAAAAAAAGGGAAAATCAATTGAACCCAGACTTCAATCAATATAACAAATATGCTGAGTACTATGGTGTATCCATGGTTACAATACAATCATACTATTGAAAATCGTTAACCTGAATGTAATATTCAGTAAGTCTTACAATGCTCATAGCATGCACTATGTGTACAGAAGCTTGTAACCTGGAAAGACTATATGTTCCTTTAGGCCAGGTTTAGTGGTCTAATGTCATGTTGATGATAGTTTGCTCCGCTGTGAACAAGATGTGTTTGTTGTTTTACACTGCCCTCAACAATGTTCGAACCATTTCAACCTGTAAATAATCAGGTCATGGCCAAACGAACCAGCGATTGATATATCGAAGAAAATCATATGACACACACAATCAACCGAGTCACTAACTCTGATCACGGAAAACTTGGGAGAAGAAATAGACGTATTCACAAAGTTGATAACTTACAGGGAAAGAAACCTTTCAAAAGTTCAATTAGGCATCGGCACACAAAATACAAAGTAAGATCAGTGACCTTTTCACAAAGTAACAAAATATACCTTGTTTTTATTTGAATGAATAAACATGAATGTGCATTCAGACACTGCCTTGTTTCTTATTCACACATGTTAATGCTAAAGTGACAGTACGCTGGCGTCATAAGCGAACTTGCAACCTGCCTAAACCGGCACTGTCAAAATCGGCATTTTTATTTGGTCCCGAGTGATGCCGGTATTGACAGAGTACACTGTATTTTGTGTGTGCCCATGTAAGATACAATTTACTGAGCATTTACAAAAATTCAAGCGTACTTGTACGCAATCGACTCAATATGAATTGAGTTTTCACATACATATTTGCGTAATTTATGCAGATACGCAGCTTCTTTGTACCTCTGTTCGTAGGTTTACTGAGGAGATAATCCTATTGTGTTTACATTTTGGAAGTGATTATAGTTGGTTGAACACTGCTAAATGTCATTTAAAATTGAACGCGTTAAATATGCACTCATTACCCTTGCGTAGTGTTTTGACACTACTGCGGATAGAGCCTTCTAAATGGTTTCGCCCATACTCCGGGTGAAACAGGAAAAAGAAACAATTTACATAGTGTCAAATGTTTTAATTATTTCCACAACCAAGTTTTCTTCAAATACATTGCAAGTTGCAACATCTGTACTGGCATTCTACTTCTTATGTTATGGACAACTTTAATGGAATGAGTTATGTAATAAGGAACACCCCTCTAACTTCAAAAATAGATTCGTCTGGTTTGACCTTCGTTCTGACGTCATTGGCGCGTGCCATTTTCAAACGCGTACGCCGTCCTGGATGCGTGTCAGTGCTTTGCTTAGTTCCGAAAGTAGTTATTTATGACAACCTGACTGTTGTCAATTTTGAAAAGACCAGACATCGAAGGCGAAGAAGCAGTGATTGTGTGATTCGACTTACATACCAGGCTGGGTCAATATTTTCCTCCATATCCGATCCAAACACATCAAAGAAATCGCCAAGGTCAAACGTAACAGTTTCAGACGACATGTTTGTTTACCTTTGTAAGGGTTAATGATTGCAAAATATTCCAACTCGCAGTGAACCGGCTCTCAGAAGTGGTTATTGAAAATTTTTCACCTCTAATTTTTTAGTAACAGCCAATCAAAAACGAACATACTTAAATGTCATGGTAGAATTAACTATCAATACAAATTTCACTGGCCACCAGGACCAATGCAAACTAACTGTTTAGTGGTCCTGATGAATTTTTACTAGCCAGGGACCACAGGCCAAGCCTAAATTTCGCCCACAGATCTTTTTTTACTTTCAAAACACTCTCTTTCACAAGAACATATTTGACAACTTTTATGATAAAGGTCTTGTTTATAAACAGGCCCTTAGTACACCTTATTTTCACGAGATCATTTTATATCCTACATAAAGCCCTTCACATACAGTTTAATATCCATTCTACCATGACTTCAGTAAATACTGGATTGTGACTGGTTAATTATAGTCATTCAGAGGCATAAAATCAAGTCATATACCTCTGATTTTCCAACATAATATGTATTTTTGAAATCATAATAACGTGGGTATGGTGGAATGGAGATAATTTGTTGTTTTACACTGACTGAGCAATGTTCCAACTATTTTCAACTTATAAATAATCAGGTCATGGCCAAATGAACCAGCAATTGATATCACGAAGAACATCATATGACACACACAATCAACCCAGTCACTAACTCTGATCACGGAAAACTTGGAGAATAAATAGACATATTCACACAGTTGATAACTTACAGGGAAAGAGCCCTTTCAAAATTTCCAACTAGACCACACGTTTGGTTTTAAATCAAATTTAGAGCTATTATAAGTTTGTTATACACCTCTGATTTTCCAACACAGTATGTTTATCTCCTAACTGTACAGTCCCTAATCTGTTTTATATCCTCAATATTGTCCCTTACATAGTTTTACACCTTGTGCAGTCCCTAGTGTGGAGTTCTATATCCTGCATGCAGTCCCTAATCCTTAGTTGTATATCCTGCATGTTGCCCCTAATGCTTAGTTTCATATCTTGTGTTGTCCCTAGTGTTGAGTTCTATATCCTGCATGCAGTCCCTAATCCTTAGTTGTATATCCTGCATGTTGCCCCCAATGCTTAGTTTCATCTTGTGTAGTCCCTAATATGGAGTTTTATATCCTGTATGAGGTCAATAATCTGGAGCTGTAGGTGTTAGAAGTTTCAAATCTTAACAATACAAAGGCCTCTCTACTAGGCTAACTAACTTAAACCTAAAGTAGATTATTGTTCATTCTTGCACAACATATACAACTCAAAAGAAACTTACACACACAATTCTTTGAAAATACTATAGTTAAACAGTGAGCGAGTAAACATTTGACATCGCATCGGCAATATTGCAGCCATATCGCGAACATAGTAACATTGTAACAACAGGAACATGAAAGGTGAGGTGAAATTGGGTTTAACGTCATGCTTGAGCATATGTCGCTCATATGACGACGTGCATGCGTGTGTATGTGTATGTGCGCTGCTTGTACTAGCCCAGACTTAAGCTGGTTTTATAGTGCTAGCCCACTAAGATACCATGCTGCAGTGAAGCATGAATACCCCACTCAGACACATTATACTGACTCCGAGCTGACCAGTCCTTGTTATACCCATTAATGCCGAGCGCCAGGCAGGGACCAACAAGTACCATATTTTAACGTCTTTTGGTATGACGTGGTCGGGGATCGAACCCGCGACCTTCCGCTCTCCGGGCGGACGGGAACATGAAAGAAAGAGGTGAACGTTTTCCACACTGACAAAACAAAACATAATCCAACATACTTTTTTTCTTCAGATCTTGTTTTAGCCTGATCTTGTCAGTATACAAGGGGTACGGGATGTCGTCATCAGAGTCATCTGTATCGTCATCGTCGTCATCGGATGTGTCATACCCAGACCCATTGAGGGTACCTAAAACAAGAAAGTATTAATTATCTGTAAAACAGGTGGAGACATTTTGTTACTTATATTGGATTTACTTGATTCTGTGATGGTATTATTTCATACAAAATATTTATGCAATTAACATTAGTGTGTGAGTAAGATGTTTAATGCAGATTTTAACTTTTATATCACAGAATGTAAGCTTACTGTGATAGGAGAGCCTCAAGTGATACAGACCTCAGACATTTATCACATCATCACCATGGTAACACCCCCACCCCCCACCCAGTACGGTCCTGACAAAGCTAGACACATAATCAGGGCAACTGGGATAATTGAGATTAAATGTTACTGTCACCATAATTAGCCTAATTGAAAGCAGAAACATAGGCAGGACTTAGATTTGAAAAGATAAACTGTCTCTGCTGCATGTATGGCATGGAGATCCATATTAAAAGTTATAATGTTATTGCCATAGATTGAAGGGACTGAACTGAACTCACCCAAAGATTTAGAGAAAAATACTTCTTGAAACATCCGTAACATTTCATCCTGAAACGAAAAAAACATAGGGTTGATAGGAGAAAAATGTTAGTCATAAACATGAAAAGTCAGTTACCTCCCTTATCAAATTCCAAAGTATCAATGAACTGGAGTTTGTGGTGATACATGTAGTCATATATAATCGAGGTAAAGGTGAGCCATGATAGATTTACGTTCACTCAAATAGTGAGTGTATGCACACTTCGCTGACATCAGCTTGTACTTGTCCCAACAAATGCTGGTTATATAGAGCTCACATGCTGAGATACATTGCCTTAGTCTAACACCGACATCCACTTAAATACAGTAAAAAGACAAGTCCTTGTTGTATCCTTCTAAAGGCAAATAACTGATAGGGTAACAAGTACCATGTCTAAACACTTAAGGGTATGACGCGCCCAAGAATCCAACCATCAACCTCCGTCCAGGAAGACACTATCCACGGAGGCAGACCCACTACAGCTGAACCTCTAGGAGTAGGTAGTAAGTGGGTTTACTCCCTTCAGGACTATCCTATTCACATCACAGCTGGGGAAACCACAAGCAGGTTTCACAAATGGCACAAAGTAGAAACTCGAAAACAATTTTTTCAATATACATCCAAAGCCTTAGCCAGTAGGCTGCAATATTACTGAAAGTGGCACAAAACCATATCTATTCAGAGACAATGGAGATTCCAGGTCAGATTTGGTTCTCAGTAATCTGTGTTGATTGCAAGAGGTGAGTAAAGGGATCAGGTAGTAAAACTTGTGTGTTTGCTTGTCTTTATATCTGACAGTATAATAATTTCTCCTAATGTCAATCGACTCATCCACTGATCCAGACTCAAATATTTACAGAATGTTTTCACATTGAGAGACTATTACTGAATGTGGTTCTTAAAACACAAACAAACTCTCTAACGGTCCACTGTATTACAGCATTGTCCCAGCAAGACTGACACACTTAACATGCTTAACACTGTCCTAAAAGATAAGATGTGGATGCCAATCCCATTCAGTATAATCAGACCCAGGAATGACATCAGTCACATAAAAATCTTGGGAACAAGACCTACAAATTGGCCAATCACAGAGTGGCACTTACCAGCGTCATATCTGATTGGCTATCTGTCTGCAGTCTCTTGTATGCATTGCTCACTTGTTTGAACCTCTGAAATGACAAGTGTTGATATTAAAATACAGCCACATGCAATGTAATAAACATCATTTAATACTGTGAGAAAATTGCAGAACACACCGTAGTAGATACTACTCTATATTTCTATGAACAAATATAGCAGTTAGTTGTAGAGGTATAATAATTAATTGCTAATGTTGTTATGAAGTGTTTACTCATCCAGTGAGTGAGTGAGTTTTTCGCCGCTTTTAGCAAAATCTCAGCAATATCACGGCAGGGCACACCAGAAATGGGCTTCACACATTCTACCCATGTGGGGAATCGAACCCAGGTCTTCCACGTGAGCGAACACATTAACCACAAAGCTACCCCACCGCCCCGTTTACTCATCGAATTATACCATCATCATGTCATTACTATCACCTTTATCATTGACCGACTACTTAGTGAGAGGTGTGGTCCTTAGCAAACGTTGAGGAGAATACTTTCAAGAAAAAACATCTCATCTGATGTTCATTGAAAATGTTGGAAATTTAGCATGATATTTTTTAGGGGTTCAATTTCTGTGACATTATTATATTCCTAAATGTCCTTCAAATTTTATTCCAATTTTCCATGAATGCCAATAACCTTCTGATCAGAATGTATCATGAACCATTTCGACTTTATCAGGCGAGACCGGTAAGGTCCGGGATAGACTTGATCTTAAGTAACCCATGCTTGTCATGAGAGGTGACTAACGGGATCGGGTGGTCTGGCTCACTGACTTGGTTGACACGTCATTGTATCCGTATTGCGTAGATCAACGCTCATGCTGTTGTCGATCACTGGATTGTCTGGTCCAGACTCGATTGTTTACAGATCGCCGCCAATTAGCTGGAATGCTGCCGAGTACGGCGTAAAACTAAACTCACTCACTCACTCAGGTGAACGTTGACCCCTCACATGGCCACTACTGCACGCATTTGAAACAGAAAAGTCTTTGGCTCTTGACTGCTTTGAAACAAAGTTACAAGCATTCAAAGTTTAATGACAGCACTTTCAATTTGGGAAAACACATGCCCAAAGCCAGTATATCTTTCTTATAAAAAGTCCCATGCCTCTAACTGCCATAATAACAAACTCACACTTTCACTTATTGTTCAATAACCTTGACCTTCAAACTCAGCCATGAACTGCCTACTGATCATGCAACATATTTTCTTGAGTACATAGTACAAGTTTGGATTTATGTCACGTACACAAGCTGTGACACCTGGAAAATAACTGAGTATACTTGGCTCTCAAGGTCATCCAATCACATCCTCATGCCATTTGTCCCTGATCACTGATGTCGGAGATGGTAAAGGTTTCTTATTAAGTTGCATCTCAGAACAGTGTTCTTAAAACCATAAGGACTGATCATACATGAACTCTCCCCAATGAACATTTCATGAAATGCAACTGCTCTTGTAACAATAAGTCCTGTATGTTGTTTAGACAATTTTTCTGGACCAAGTTCTTGGCAGACACAGTACATTAGCAGAAAGAGGAAATAGTATTTTGCTTAATTTATGCAGGAACCCCGAACAAATGGCAAGAATTACAAAAAGGCTGTTTCAATTATATTTCTAGTTAAATCAGTTCACTTACATCACCAGTAACAATGATGATCATAATATCATTTATATTTTACTTTTGTTAGCCAGCTTTCATATTCACAAGTGTAGAATGCAAATGTCAAATTTTCAAATGTAACTGACAAAGCAGTTATGCAGTAATTAATGAGATTCTGGTGAATGACTGTCAATGACGATTGACCAGTTACTCTGCACAGATGCAATGATCGATTGCCAATATTGCAGACAATGGAGAAAAAATTAACTGTTTGTTCAAAACGTTCAATCATTAATAAGGCCAAATAAAAAAATGTTGTGGTTCTGATTACAGCTCTTTAAAATTTAGGGTAGGTAGGTCGGAATTACTTCTCTTTTTTTCATCTTCCTTTAGAAGTGAAGTACAAACAAAATTATTTATTTAATCAAGCTTGTGTCCATCATGTCAACTTTCTCCATCAGAATGACCGATGTCCATCGGGGCTGGCAAAAAACAATGGTATCTGAACACTTATTTTATACATACCGCTTAAAAAAAATAGGGTTGGCACCAGAATTCAAGGGTCGGTCGGGTAATCGGAACCACAACATTTTTTTTAGGCCTAACTTCTATTCGTGACTGACACATATTGATTGACTTCTCCCTAGTATTATTCACTTAAAAATACCATTTGCAAGGTGGAAACAGGTGCTTGATAATACACACAGGAATATACACAAAATAGCAGTCTCTGATTATAACATATAGTGCATGAAAGACTGTGAAAAAACCCTGATAACTGGTCAATGCCAAATGGCAAAAATCACTGACACCAAGCTAATTGGCAAATGACTGAACTGAAGACAAATTAATATAGCAACATCAAACAGTTTACTCCCATAACGCAGACCTCCCAAAACGAAGCCCTTCCAAAATGCAGATAAAAATAGCACACTAATTAATTGGACCATGTTGGTCACCCCTAATTAAAATTGGCTTGGTCCACACTTTGATAAAATATGGAGAACAACAAGGGACTAACTGAACATGCTTGTCTAACACCAGTGGAACAATCAAAATATTTTTCCATGGATACGTAACATTTCTTAAAAGAAGATAAAGTAATTTATATCGGTTAACCATATCGAACGCTTTCTTGAAAACCACGAAAGCACAGTAGAATCTGCCTTTTCTTCGAGCTATGTGCTTTTGAACAATAGATTAAAGAATAACTTACACAAAGTGTTCAATAACGATATGCCCCTATAGTTACTAGGTTCATTATTACTTTCCTTTTTATACATACCGGTAGATATCATAATAGAAGTAGTCCATGCAGCTGGGAAATGACCTTTACATAATATTTGTGAAAACAATAAAGCAAGGTAGGGTGCAATCATATCCTTAATGTTCTTTAAAAATTCTGTTGGAATACCATCGTCTCCTGTTGACTTATTTAGTTTAGCATCGTCTATTGCAGATATAACATGTTTTGTGAATACAAGCATATTTTAATCAGTTAATGTTTACCTTCCCTTTGATAAGATATTCCAAAAAATTAATATAACCAAACTGCACACACTGCAGATTGTACAAGTTCACAAGAATCTGCAAGTGCAAAAGTAAAAACTAAATGCTGTATCCAATTACAACCCATGAAAAGCATTGGCCTTATTTTAATATTGCTTATCTGTATCAAAATTCAACTGTGTGGATTTCTTGACATAACCCTGATTATTATTCATATAAACACTAATGAAGACTGGTGGGCTCCTCAGACTCAAGAGTCAGCTTATCTCAAGGACCCTGTTAACATCATGCACTCTTTAAACTTAAGTGGATATCGGGCATGTAATAAAATAGCACTTTAATGTATCATTAATGTATGTATAGACGCCAACCTTAATTGAAGCTTTGGAGTAGTGTAAAAAGTATGAGTACCATAATACAGGTTTTCGCTTCAAGGACTAGAGGAGTGAGTGAGTGAGCGAGTTTGGTTTTACGCCGCTTTTAGCAATATTCCAGCACACAGTGGGGTACACCAGAAATGGGCTTCACACATTTTGCCTATGTGGGGAATCGAAACCGGGTCTTCGGTATGACGAGCGAACACTTTGACCACTAGGCTACCCACCACCCCAAGGACTAGAGGAATACACAGATACACATGAAGAGAATCTTACAGCAAGCCACCTCAGACAGCATCACTATTTGAAACAAGACAAAAAATGTGAAGAAGGCTCACTAATACCACTGACCATGACTCCTAACTTCTGCAGTACAATTAATAATGATTATTCTTGACAAAAATATAAGATCTGTATCAAACTTTCCGCTGCACCTTTCCTATAAACAAACAAACCAATACCCAAATCTTAAAACTGTCCATAAAATGACTGTAAAGTTATTGCTTGAACTAGAGAACTGTGATAATTCTTGATAAATTAAAATTACTGTGCACTGCATCTATCGAATAGATATGGAGGGTGATCCCCCAAGTTTAATACAATATGTTCACATGTGTTCAGTTTATTGGTTGTAGAAAAAATTCTGAAAATATATAAAATGTTGCAACTCTTAAACATTGCATTGCATCTCTCCGTTTGATATAGAAACTGTTTTATAAATTTGATCTATTTTTAGTTCATATTTGTACATTTCTGTAATTCTTAAAACAATTAAAATAGCAAAAACGATGCACCTCTCCTTCAGACGAAAAAGGTGGTTCTCAAATTTGAATAGAATCTAAAACTAGTTTTCAAGCTATTGGTGACAAAAATGGGCACTGGAAAACCATGTGGAAGTTGTCAGGTATACTGTATTATTTCTGATCTTGATCTCAAATTTATTTTTATACAGGTAAATACTTCAAGAAAAATTGCTAAAAGTATAAAGATAACTGTAATAGAGTAACAATTGGGTCAAAAGTGCAATTATTTTGCCAAAACATTGATGGTTGATTCCTCTGTGTGTAGCATGTAAATGAGATGATTTTTGTATTCAGCAGTATGGCTGCATATGAAGCTTTAACCTCACACATCATAGATGAGCAATTATCAACAAAATTGACATCTGACACATGACGCCTCTTTTATTCATACACAGAATATCATATATTTATTTATATTTTACTGTATGTCTTCACGGCCTGCTTTTAGAATTCAGCACCATGAACTTTCCAAAAAACATCACACTACCTCAGGTAGTTATTTGTGAAACTTTGTTTACAAATACACTAGTGAAACAATGTCCTGTGAGGTCATAGTGAGTGAGTGAGTTTAGTTTTACGCCGCACTCAGCAATATTCCACCTATATGGCGGCGGTCTGTAAATAATTGAGTCTGGACCAGACAATCCAGTGATCAACAACATGAGCACTGATCTGCGCAATTGGGAACCGATGACGTGTCAACCAAGTCAGCGAGTCTGACCACCCGATCCCGTTAGTCGCCTCTTACGACAAGCATGGGTTACTGAAGATCAACATTGTAACCTGGACCTTCACGGGTTCTGTGAGGTCAGAAATTTGCAGGGTTTTCAAGTGTGCCTGAGCTCCTCCCATAGTCTCTATATATATTGTCATTGAGTAAGGCCAGTGATGATGGGAGTCAATATTTCTGTAATAATAGAGCAGGTTGTGGCGATGTTTATAGCAAGCGTCAGTTTATGACAGCCCTTTTATTTTAAATATATTTTATATTTCACTTTCAACTTATGGGACTAAATGGACAATAAATGGAAACTAATGTACATATATATATTTTAATATCATTCATTAATTTGCATCATTACACAGGAATGGAGTATATCAAGTATATTTATCAAAGCATGGGAATTTTTTGTAATAAATTAGTTAGATCTTTAGGCTCCTGCGCCTAGATTTTCAAAGCTCTTTTAGCTCTAAGATATTCGTAAGTGCCATACATAAACATTAACTTACGAGTATCTTAGCGCTAAGAGAGCTTCGAAAATCTAGGCCCTGGTTTGTAATGAAAACATCAAGAAAGACAAGTGCTGGTAATTGACGGGGATTGTTCCCCCTCTCGTGTATTTTAAAGGAAGGGAGCCAAGGCTTTTTGGGGGTATGTTAGTAATTTTTTGGCTTTCACATATTTTATACTTTTTTCACACAAACATGTCAAAAGAATACTATGAAAATTTGGGTTAATGGAAATTGTCAAAGAACTTGCATTTACACCACTTTCACAGACTAAATGTGTTCAGTAATAATTCAACAGCTGATTTTCCATGGCATCACCAGACATGCTCATGCCTACTGCTTGGTCAAATCCGCATTATCCTGACAGTGTTCTTTCACTACAATACTTTTCAATCACAAAATCACCCAATGATTATTTTCAAAAGTATGTGTTATTCATGCATACCGTAATATGATACAAGATGACTGATGTCAACTGATGTTTTCATTTTACGATCTACCATTCCAAAACATTCGCTATCTGGTAGATTATAGAATAGGAAAAGTGCACCAAATGGCACCGAGATCATTCGTAAATTGTCCATAGATACAACCATATCATGGCGGGGGACACCAGAAATGCTTTTCACACATTGTGCCCATGTGGGGAATCGAAACCTGGTCTTTCGGCGCGACAAGCGAACTCCGTAACCACTAGGCTATTCCACCACCCCCAGTGCACAGGAAATTGTGCTACATTCAAAAGGTGTGCATATGTTTTTTCCCTAAAGGAATGAGACAAACAAGCTTGTTTGGGCCTCACAACACATTTTTCAAAACATCCTGTGGAAAATTACATATTTGTGTGTGAAACCAAAAGCATTTTTTCTGAAACAGCGAATGTTTGAAAAAATCATCTGCTTTTAGCCATGCTTATTGGAGCACATATATATAGCATGACTGAAGGAGTGGATAGTCATGTTTTATTCATGTTTATCAGCACACCATGTGGCTGACACTATCATTCAATCAATAAGCTACAAATATGTGTTACCTGCATAGGTGTCAGAGTTTCATCAGGGCTCCAGATAACTTTTGGGGGTGCGAGTGTACTTACACATCATATTGCAAGGGGAGGTGTACTGAGAATTTTGAAGGAGTACTGACATGTTTTTGTGTGAGCGAATTGGTGATGTGGTTTGTCTGGACGATTCATCGATCACTATTTGCAACCATGTATTTGTATTTGAAGACGCGTGAGAAATAACTGAGCGACCGTGTGATGCGCGAAATGTCAGGTCCGACTGGATATAAATAGGAACAGTGGAGTTTCTAGCCAATCGAAAAATAGTGACGCATATCCTTGCATGGCAACGCAAGTGATTCCTACTGTCGGGGTTTCCTCATGTGTCAAATCTTGTTTCGCAAAAGAAACTTGACAAGTATTTATCCGAAATAGATTTCCATTTGCAGGATACACACGGAAATTAAATGTTAGACGTACAAAGGTATTTATGCGCGTACACGATACGCTTGAAATCTTATATTATGTCGTACTTATTTTTTGAGGCGTACATTACACCTGTACGCCCCTTATCTGTAGCCCTGTTCATTATACTAACAAACACAGCCTGGGCTCAGGTCTCCTAACTGAAATAGTCAGGTCACAATGACCTTGTCCTATACTGATTGAATGGCCTTCTTAGGCATCAATAGTTCCTGTTATTTTTAGTTAAAAATATCATATACCTTGCGAAACTGTAACACAGAAAACAAAATAAGGACAACAAAATATTACATTATCCCTATTTCTCACTGATTACAAAAACTAATAGAACTTGTTTCCAGATAGACTATTGCTTAGTCTCTGAACGTATATAATTTTGATAGACACAAACAATTCCCTTTAAATTGAAAAGCCCCAGTGAGATGTGAGACTCAGATCCTGAACCGGAGGAGTGAGTGAGTGAGTTTAGGTTTACGCTGCACTCAGCAATATTCCACCTATATGGCGGCTGTCTGTAAATAATCGAGTCTGGACCAGACAATCCAGTGATCAACAGCATGAGCATCGATCTGCGCAATTGGGAACCGATTACATGTGTCAACCAAGTCAGCAAGCCTGACCATCCGATCCATTTAGTCGCCTCTTACGACAAGCATGGGTTACTGAAGATCAATATTCTAACCCGGACCTTCACGGGTCCTGAACCGGAGGAAATCTGGACTTGCTTCATTTAGGGCTTTACCATTGCAGGGAGGGCAAGGCAGAAGGGAAAATAATGACAAGTATGGTAATACATGGTAGGCATGGTAAATAGATGAAATAAAACAAGAAGACAAAGTCATCAATATCCCCCGCAAAGGCAAAATACTCTTCATGATTACGTCTACGAGTAATGATTATGTCAAATATTTAGGTGTGTATAAAGAAAAGTGGAAGGAGAGTATTGAAAGGTTTTTAAAGTTCTGCTCCAGAAAGGAGCACTATCACCAATTTCAGTCTATGTCAAATATGTTGCCATGGAAATGCCAAAAATATTTTATTCAGATCTTTGTATGCGCCAAGTTTGGTGAAGAATTAGGGAACGGTTTTAGAGTTCAGCTCCGGAAAAGAGAACAACCACCAATTTCAGGCTAAGTCAAAAGTGTTGCCACGGAAAAGACAAAAATATTTTATTCAGAATTCCAAAACTACCAAAAGGCACCAGTACACCAACAGACCAATCTATGTGCCAAGTTTGGTGAAGAAATAGTGAACGGTTTTAGAGTTCTGCTCCGGAAAAGAGCACTACCACTAATTTCAGGCTAAGTCGAACTTGTTGCCATGGAAACGCCAAAAATGTTTTAGTCAGAATTCCAAAACTACCAAAAGGCACCATTACACCACCAGATCTATCTATGTGCCAAGTTTGGTGAAGAAATATTGAACGGTTTTAGAGTTCTGCTCCGGAAAAGACAAATGTGCACAGACGGAGTCCATTTTAATACCCCCCGCAAAACGCGTTACGGGGGGAAAAAATATACTTGGTCATATTTCATTTCACAGTAGCCATGTGTCCACATTATAACAACTCTGTAAAAATTCTTTGGGCACATGGGGTTTTAGGGTAATTGTATAGGAAATTCATTTATCTAAAAGTTTGTCTACAATAGCTCATGACAATTCAGTTTTGATATATGTGTTCTACACATTACCAATATGGTATTTGTTAAGGTTTACTTTAATGAAAACCCTAAATTCATAAATCTTGTTGGAAAATGTTTCACAATTATGAAAGGAAGATGATGAAAATTCTACCACGTTTATTCCACAGGTATCCAAAGGTGTAAATGAACTCAGTGTGGTAGGTAACCGCATATGAGCGACTTTTAGTTTTACACTGCTCTTAGCAATATTCCAGCAATATCACAGCAGGGGACACCAGAAATGGGCTTCAAACATTGTACCCATGTGGGGATTCGAACCCGGGTCTTCAGCGTGACGAGCGGACGCTTTCACCACTAGGCTACCACACCGCCCCTAACCACATACAAGAAAATATGTCCCTATAATGAGAGAAAGTGACACTGAAACAACATGTACGCCTGGAATGCAGCCTGGCCTGCAACAGCTGACCTCAGGCAGCAAAATATTTCTTTTCTTCTGAATATGTTTGAGTTGATCTAACATGCTGAATAACTTTCTTTTGGCCATTGCAAGTTTTATACAACTTAAAGTTGAATTAACAATGTAATTTTGTTAAAGTCTGAGACTTATGAAAAACCATGGTAACAGAATACAAAGCGCATCAAATCCAGTCTTACTCTACTTTATCTTAAAATTCCAACATAAATGTTAGCTGTTCAGTTTTAGTTGTTTTAAATACTGAAATGCCTGCCTCTTGTTAGAGAAGCTCCCTTCTCATGGCAGGTGCCTGGGTGCCAGTTCGTTAGAAGTTTTAGCACGGCAACCATACGGCCTGAATAGGCTGAGGCTCATTTACTGCAGAGATAGCATGTTTATCAAATTCAGCATGCAAAGAATGTCATCGTATTACAGTTAAAAATACCATGTAGGTGTAAAACAGTAAATGAATGGAAACCAGTATTCGTCATATTGATTCAAACATGCCTGTGTTGATTAAACATTAGGGAAAATTGTTTTATTGTACATTTATGGGTTTTTTAATTTTTTAATAAAGACACGATGATGTGTTGCTGATGTGTTGACACCTCACATAAAAATTTCATTGTTTCCATTATTGATGAGTTTCCTTGACAATTACAAGACAGAATATCTGGGTAAGAAGTGAAATGTTTTATCAGTTGGCTTTCCAGGCATACAAATATCATATTGGGGCCGTCTGAAGTATATCCTGCATTGCCAAACATGATCTAGAAATACAGTTTTCATAAAAAATACTATTTTCATACAAAAATACTTTTTATAAAGAAATATTATTTTGATAAAGGAATACAAACCCTGACTGCATCAGCTGAATTGCCATGTTTCTCAGGATGCCATTTAAGAGCCAGTCGCTTGTAGCTTGTCCTGATAGAATCCTGGTCAGCCACTGATTGACAAACATATGAACAAACATATTAAAACATACAGCCATCATAAACAAACAAAACAATACCATACATGGATATATTAACATCGTAAACAAACATGTCATCATCACCAACATAATACAAACATAGCAACATGATCAACAAGACCAAAAATCGAATTTTAATTGAAAATATTTATATAAAATTGTAATGTGCAGGGGTGAATGAGTGCCAGTGAAAAGCACAAGCATAACCAACCAAGTATCATAAGACAAGGATCTAATAATAAACTCGAAGATGTTGTGTTCCACATAATAAAGAAACTGACATTCACAAACATTCCGACCCGTGAAGATCCAGGTTAGAACTGAACTTCAGTAACCCATGCCTGTTGTATGAGGCGACTAACGGGATCGGTTGACTGGGTTGACAGTGACACATGTCATTGTATCCGAATTGTGTAGATCGATGTTCATGCTGTTGATCCCTGGATTGTTTGGTCCAGACTTGATTACTTACAGACCGCCGCCATATAGCTGGGACATTGCTGAGTGCAGTAAAACCAAACTCACTCACTCATAAACATTCCCCTAAACATATCACTTATAAATGCCTTTCACATGATTACCATGGTAAAGTCGGGATTTGATCAGCCAATCTCATATCATAATAATGTACAGGCATCCCTCGCCATAACGCGGGTCTTGGGGTCCATGGATGACCCCCCGCGTTATTAGACACCCGCGTTATAAGTAACGATTACATAACGAGGAACAAAGGCCAAGTAAAATCGTATTTTCCATGGACATAACAAAACTGCTATTTCGTGTATTGTGCCCAGTCAAAACTATATCGTACTGTTGGAGGTGAAAAAAAACAAAACTTTGTAAATAAAAAATAGATGTATGTACATGAAACTTGCAATCAAACATCACAAGACATATTATAAGACATTCATGCAATAATGTCATTTATTACCCACGTGGTCAACGTATGGGTACTTGCATACTGATCTTGTACGTCACACGAGTGTCGTATCGCGTTGACCTGTGTCGTAATGACTTGACCTGAGATTCTAACGATTTGATTGGATAACCGATGATCTCTCAATTAGGTCACATTGTGACAAAACTACTTTTTCATTCATGACAAACACGTGAATTCATTCATTCTACAGCTTAAATGCATTGTGGGAATGTAAACATTGCGAATGTTGCCGTATCGCTGTTTAATTGTGAGTCGAACTGAGACATACTATCCATCAGACATAAACGCAATGTTTCCACCATTGATGTTAACCGAGTGAAGCAACTGCAAACTAAGAAATGGGGTGCTACGGAGTAGTTTATTGTAGGAGGCTGTATGAGGTGATCACAACTGACATGCATCGTGATGTCGGTTACGAAGGGGACAGACGTAGTGATGTCATTACAGTGTGACGTCATGCAAAAAGTGTACTAGAACAAAATTCTTCCGCAACCTCTTTCTGAAACCGGTTTCGGTTTGAAACCATAAAAATAACAAAAATACGCTATTTTGTCAATTTAATGCATGTAAAAGTGGGTAATAAAAAAATACCACACTCGGTCTCATAACATATGAATTATACGAAACTCGTGACCTTCCTATGGTGTCTGACCTCGCTTTCGCTCGGTCAGAGACCATAGGAATGACACTTGTTTCGTATAATTCGTATGTAATGAGACCTCGTGTAGTATTCTATATTTAATTTAATGCATGTGTTGTAAAAAAGTATTTAACTGAAATTGAAAAATAGAGAAGTTCTATAGTATTGGTAAAGACTAACCTCTTTACCAAATACAGATCAATGTTAGAAACTAAGAATGAAAATCAAGGGCCCTTGTCATAAGCAGTAAAACCAATATATTAACAATACTCAAGGATGAAGAAATACACCTAGATTAAATCATATACAATGGCTGTTTATGTCAAGGATCACAGTTTCTAACAGAGCAGATATTATACATCTTTCATCAAGCAACAAGTTTCACACCACAAGGACACACTGTTCACTGATAACTCAACCAGACATCTGCTGCAAAATTCCCTGCACATTTCAATAATCCTAACCATGCCTATTTATAAATATTGATCAGTCACGAGCATATGTATCATAATCAACTTATACTGACTGACTGAGTTTGGTTTTACACGCCGCTTTTAGCAATATTCCAGCAACATCACGGCGGGGGACACCAGAAATGGGCTTCACACATTGTACCCATGTGGGGATTCGAACCCGGGTCTTCCGCGTGACGAGATAATCAACTTATAAATCAGGTACAAACTTCATAGTAAGGAGCACACATATCCAGTTGAGGTTTCAGTTGCTTCTGGTCATTGAAATATCATGGTAATTTCAAATGACTAAAACTGTTAGTCTTATACTACCAGGTCACGACGACTTATTTCTGTTCCTGTTGTTATGTTATTACACTGCAAACCTACAAAGATGGTACATCACAACAGCATGCATTTTATCTGCCCTCTGGTAGATATTGTGATATCCAATACAGGGGAGTGTCATTAGCGCCAAATTGTTAAGTTTGAATACAGTTTGGCGCGCTAAAACTGGCAAGGTTGCTAATGTAGCATTTAACTATAATCACCCATTCATCTGAATGCCATTGCATTGTATGAAGAAGTGATTACCATGACAGACCTTTGAAAAATGGTTTGCATCACTGACTTAAATAAGTTAAGCCTAACTTTTTAGCTGTCCTTGGATGATTATCCTACAATTAAAAACCTCTTATCAGTGGAGATAAGAAATGTTCAAATTGGTTTGCTCAGGTGAGGTGAAATTGGGTTTAACGTCGTGCTTGAGAATATTTCGCTCATATGACGATGTGCATGTGTGTGTATGTGGATGTGCGGCTGCTTGTACTAGCCCAGACTTAAGCTGGTTTTATACTATAGTGCTAGCCCACTGAGATACCATGCCTCAGTGAAGCATGAATACCACTCAGACAGATTATACTGACTCCGAGCCGACCAGTCCTTGTTGTACCCATTAATGCCGAGCGCCAGGCAGGGACCAACCAGACTGGGACCAACAAGTACCATATTTTAACGCGGTTTGGATCAAACCCGCGACCTTCCGCTCTCCGGACGGACGCTCTAAGTTCTAACCACTACACTACGGAGACGGTCGGTTTGATCAAACAGAAGACACTTCATTGCCGTGATTAAGTCTTAGCCTTCTTTTTATCATGTCTATGTAAAAAGTACCAATACCTTAGACATCTAGGTAAAACTGACTGACTGAGTTTAGTTTTACGCTGCTTTAACTGGTTTTAGCAATATTCCAGCAATATCATGGCGAGGGACACCAGAAATGTATCTAGGTAAAAAGATAAGACACCTAGCAATTGCATGCTGGTCGTAAGATGCGGCCATATACACAGGGTGTTCTGTTGTGTTCATCATGTGTGGTGTCCATCACATGGTTGATTGCAGGTCATTGTACCCGAACAAATTCTACCTCACAATACTGGATTATCTGTCCACACTTGATTATTTGGAGGTCACAATTGTGCAACATAGAGTTGGCATATTGCTGAGAGTGCCTTTAACATGTTTAAACAACCAAAAGTACATATGCCATATGTCCATATTCATGATATTTGCAACAAAAATCAACTAATCATCATTGCTATCTTAGATGAAACTGCATTTGTACTTCATTGTCTTCATTTGTCCTAAAAACACCTTTCACTCTGATTACTGGCCCATAAAAAATATTGTTTAACAGAGAAGCAAAAAAAAAAATATGACTGCACGTTTGATATATACAAAAATGTTTGGCTAAAGAGCAACTGAACCCTTACAACATATTTCGTTTCTTTGCATGTTTCCTTTGTTTCTTGATCAAAGATAAAGTTGCATTCCATAAGCCTTTACAAACAGGACCCATATAATGTTCAAATTCTCAAAACAGAAAGTAAAAGTTCACACTTTAACTGGAATAGACATATGACTTCCTAATCTTATCAATCTTTTTACTGTACTCATGAAAGCAAATTGTCTTAACACACAAGCATAAGGAACAAGACAGAGTTTCTATATATGCTAGGCTAGAAGAATGCAAAGCCTTTATGTTAGTAGCCTCACCATGTGGCCAGGCTTTTGTAAACCTATTATCACTATAAGATTTTAAAGGACATGATTATATGCCCAAACATGTTTATTTCTTCCTCTGACCAAAAGAGACTAATAACTATTTAGAAAATCTGTCAGCGTTTATAATTAGACACTGACGATACTCAGATAATCTAGCATGGTAACTGTGGATAAAAATAAAGCTTAGGCTACCACGACGAAATATCCCACATTTCACACTGACCTGGATGTATCATACTGTGACAGTTACAGACAAATAACAGAAATTACTGGGTTAATTCAAACACTGGATTCTGAACTACACATCTGTTTAAATAAATTGACCCTACAAAGATTTAGTTGACAGTGTGATCGGGAAAACCAGGAAAACTTGCTAACGTTATCTCGTACCTTGTGGTGCCATTACCGACACAGAGACAGAATATACTGTTGTCGGTTTCTTAATATAGGAGGACAAACGTCACTTTACTCATCACATAATTAAAGAAAACTACATAATTTCATACATATTCTCACTATGTTGTTATCTCAACAAACACTCAACTATTACATTGCAATATTGGCGGGGATTCCCGTAATTTTGACAACGTTGACAGATTCCGCTTCAAACATACTGGTTTTGAAACAGCGTATGTGCTTACCAACAGGTAATTCCAGTAGCTCAAATGCCTCGACTTTAGAAAGAACCATATTTCAATAGCGTCAAAATTTCTTTTACTTCATAAACACATCAAGTAATATCCAATGAAACTGTCAACAATCACCAATTCCTTTGGCAGGTGGCCGCCATATTGGTTCATGGGCAATGGTCACGTGATATAAAAGGATTTTCTCGCGAGAACAAATGGGATCAAAACATTAACACGTGCGTTCAAGGGACGATTGTGACGGAGCGAGAACAGTCGAGAACCACGCTATTTCGTCACATAATTTATTCCTATTTGACACTTGGTATTTTGGTTTTTACAGCGTCACAATAACCTTATGACCTAGTTACTTATATCAATTATTATGACATTTGAGAATATGCTATTAATGTATTTCGATATTTTCATTAATTCAGTGATTTTATTAAGAGGAAAGGTGGCAGATATTACATTTTATTCACGTATCTGAACATTTTAACATACTTAGATTATGATATGAGTTGTGTTTTCAATTACTGTGTTTAAATATGTATGTTCTCCTTTTAGGTCGGATTTGCAAGTGATGAAATTCTTCAAAGGCATTTAGAAGTTAGTGTAGTATTACAGTTGTAATACAAGACAAATCTTATGGATAACATCGTCTTGATTTATTTTTCACAACGTTTCTGGGCTAGTTCTTGCCCCTTCTTTCAGGTGGATGTAGAAGAGGGACAAGAACGAGCCCAGAAACGCTGTGAAAAAAATAAATCAAGAGGTTGATATCCATAAGATTTGTCTTGTATTTACAAGTGATGCTAGAAAGAACATACACCCAAACGTTTAGGCAGGGCTTACATTACGTCCGTTTTTTTAACGCATGCGTTATGCGTTGCGTTTTTGCTCTTACACTATATGCGTGAATATGCGTTTTGAACATGCGTTAGATGGCGGCCATAGCTGTGATGAGTATGGTGTTGGAGGAAGAGGAGGAATTCGAAGAAGAGGAGGAATTAATCACAACCACAACAGTTATGTAAATAGTATTATATGGTATATTACTTAATATTTATGACATAGTTTAAGTCATATACAAACAGATAAAGCATTCTGGAGTGATAAGTCATCCAATTACGAGGATTACATGTTACATTGGCTTGTTTCGTTCAAGAAATTACAAAATCAACTCACCGGAACTACTCACGTGTTGGCAAAATACCTTGTTAAAATGGCGTCATCAAGGGAATTCCCTCTGCGTTTCAATTTGCGTTGCGTCAAAAATACTGTCAGACCTATTTTCAACGCAGCGCAGCGCAACGCACCCAAAAAACGGACGTAGTGTAAGGTATAAATGATAAAATAACTGACTTGCGTTTTTTTGACGTAACGCACGACGCAACGCAAGAAAAAACGGACGTAATGTAAGCCCTGCAATACAATAACAATGTCAAGATCCATTCGCCGAAAATGCTCCCAGCAACACCTTTACGGCCACTTTCTATAAATAACACGCATAATTATAAGGTTTGCTGAGAATAGCAGTACTCGCAATGGGTAGTATTGTTGTATGATATACGACAGTATTCGTTATTTCAGGTGTATAGAAGGCCCATTAACTCTATATAATACCCATTCAGCTATATCGCTGGCGTCTTGGATCAGGGTAATCTGTAGATAGACATTTGGAGAAGCTTCTCCTATTCCCTCAGGCTTAGTCCAGCTATTGTAACCAGCAGTTTCGCTACATTACACATTGAAGTGTCTTGAAGAACGTACAGACAGAAAAGTGTTGAAATGACGGTTTGTACCAATTCTTGTTCATCGAGGAAAACATACACAGGACTTGGAAATTAGATAGACGACGGAAAGTATGTGATGTTTGGAAGGATGTATAGTTGTCATCGATTATGCTCCCATATGTATATGTCACTCCACGAAAGATGGAGGGGACATGGCGAAAACTTGAAAGCTTCTTAGTAAAGCGGGAAGGTGGGGGGTAGCCTAGTGGTTAAAGCGTTCGCTCGTCACGCCGATGGTCCGGGTTCGATTCCCCACATGGGCATAATGTTAGAAGCCAATTCCTGGTGTTCCCCGACGTGATATTGCTGGAACATTACTAAAGCGGCGTAAAACACAACTCACTCACTCTTATACAACAGTGCAATGACTGACTGACTGACTGAGTTTAGTTTTACGCCGCTTTTAGCAATATTCCAGCAATATCACGGCGGGGGACACCAGAAATGGGCTTAACACATTGTGCCCATGTGGGGAATCGAACCCGGGTCTTCGGCGTGACGAGCCAACGCTTTAACCACTAGGCTACCCCACCGCCCCTATAGTGCAATGGCTTGTGGTGGGAATTATTAATTTCATGTATAAAACAGCCTGATATATAGTACCAGAAATAATTTTTTTTTTTTAAATCATAAATCTGTAAGAGAAGAAATAAAAAGGAACTCAGAACAATATACAATGCTTATTATTTCATGGCCGGGGCAATCTAGACTTATCAAATCAACTAAAGCTGAACTGAACTCCTTTTGTAAAATATTCTCTTCAATGTGGGAGACAGACACGTATAGAATTAAGTATATGGTAAAGAAGAACAAACGGATATAGTAATTCCTTGAAAAGGAAACCACTCGCAGATAACGTGTTATCACATGGATAGGAGCATAATGTGGCTTTGTATAGGCGTAATTATTGCCTATTGTCCATTGAAAGCTATATCATTTGTCAGATTAAAACGTACATGTATCACCCCCTGTGTAGCTAATGTTACTAGAAATATATAAAAAGTTAACATTATAACCTCGCTTATCACTAGAGAGACCATCTCAACATGCGATTATAATTTTCCTTCTTGAGTCATCTTTTGTATAGAAAGCAGATAATTAGTATAAGAGGAACGAGACTGTATTTACTGAGAGCATGCAATGGGTTATTTGTAGGGCTGCGCAATATAACCGGTTTACCGGAATTTACCGGTTCAGACATGAAAACGATACGTATTGCGATACGCTGATCGAAAACCGGTATTTTGACATGCATTCGGAAAACTTCGTAACACTCGGAAATCTTCGGATATTGCCTTGTTTCATTTGTGCCAAATTTTGTCAGGATTAAAAGTTTTAGAATATTAAAGCAATCAAACATGATATTATTTACATTTCTATTTTTTTGTCAGGATTAAAAGTTTTTATTAAAGCTTAATCAAACATGATGATTTTATTTGTTTTTGCTTTATAAATCAATCATTAACTCGAGTATAAGTAGGGTTTTTTGTTGAAAAAACTTCTTGCAATATATTGCAATACATATCGCAATATATGCTTTCTCATCGCAATATATCGCAATATGAAAATTCTCTGCAATACCCACCCCTAGTTGTTTGTCGCAACACAGTATTACAGTTCTGTAACTGACTGTCGGCTTAATGTAGGAAGTAAAATTAATATTAGGGCAGAATAAACATATTGTTATAAACAAACCACGAGTCACAATCAGGATGAATATGGGATTCGAACCCACAAACAGTAGATCGGGTATAAGAGGGAGCGGTACGTGTCGCACAACTCCCCTATCAACGATGGATACATCCATACCACCTCTCCCACTGGGCCAGACAACTTCCGGTCGTCTCGAAAAGAATAAGGATCTCAAACCCAACTGGGAAAGAACTTCCGTCGTCCGCCGTCATACAACTCGAGGCAGGCGTTACTATGAATTTTGGTTTCAAGTACGTCCAAGGGACGCTACTCTACCGAGTCCCCAGGCGACTGGATCAACCATGCCCCAAGAAGAGGATATAATATTCATTTTAACTAATTCATAATTGCCCTTCACGTGTTCTACAGAACGGCTATCGGGTGTGGAAGCACAGTCTCAAGGCCCGAACTTATGTAAGTAATTGTGAAAGAGACATACATATGTCAGACAACTGTGTTTGTTTGGATATTATTTAGGATCTTGGTGATAAATTAGTATATATTTACTGGAGGCCTTTGTTCAAGCAGTGGGGAGCGTGTCGGCTCAAAACCGGATGTCATTTCTCGGAAGTGACCCCTGCCACGTCAAGGAAGCGACTGACTTGTAAGGAAAATGCTAAAGAGTGACAACATCCCTAGTAGTAGCTGACGTTTCTTTAATATTGAGGTTGTGTTCGTGACCTTTCGATTGTTCGTGACCTTTCGATATTCCCTGTGAAGAGTTGCTTGAAAGTTCTGTCGACCCGTGAAGATCCGGGTTAAAATAATTCTTCAGGAAACCCATGCTTGTCTTAAGATGCGACTAACGGGATCGGTGGTCAGGCTCGCCGACTTGGTTGACACATGCCATCATTCCCCAATTACGTAGATCGATGCTCATGATGTTGATCATTGGGTTGTCTGGTTCAGACTCGATAATTTCAGACCGACGCGATATAGCTTGAATATTGCTGAGTGTGGCGTTAAACTACAAACAAACAAACAAAATTAATTCTGTTGACATCCAAAATAACTATGTAAGGTTGAAATCTCGGTTAGCCCTGATAACGAGTATATGTGTTTCAGCACTGTATCACTGCTCGTGGGTTTACCTAGGTCATATATCAAACAACTGCATCGCTACAGGCTCGGGAATCTGACACGGAGACGTATTGTTTTAAAAAATCACTCACGCACCCACTCACGCTCTCAATCACTCGCATAACAGCCAGCTGTAAAGAAGCTCAAGGCATTAAAATGTCTGACCTGGTTAAAATGACAGTGTGTCATTGTACCCTGATCGGACTCTTACGACAATGCTTCTCCAGAAAGCCCTACTAATTGTTAGTTGTTGACCCTGGCCCATAAATAATCCAGTCCAGCTCAGTTAAACCTGGATTTTGGAAGCTCTCTTAGCGCTAAGATAGTCGTAAGTTAATGTTAAGGTATGGCACTTATGACTATCTTAGCGCTAAGAGAGTTTCGAAAATCTAGGCCCAGGTTTAACGTGAGAATCAATCCAGTGAGTCAGTGAGTTGGGTTTTATGCCGCTTTTAGCAATATTCAAACAAAATCACGGCGGGGGACACCAGAAGTGGACTTCGTCATACTGGAATGCACATGCAAAGTAAGTGCTTCACACAATATTTCAAAACCAATAGGTCACATGTTCACGTGCTTCGAAGTACGCTGGGGTATAACT